ACAGAATAGGCCATACAGTGTATCTGCTTCCACTGACTGTAAATGATGAGACCTTACTTGCATCATCTATCTATATATCTATCAATCTATCTCTGCAGCAAAATCCTTGTTATGGTTTGTGACTCACAGTACTGTGACTGTTGAAATTGATGAAATGATTAAAATTGATGAAAAAACAACCATCTTCTGGCCAATATTTTTCTAAATGCACTACTTACGGTAGCTTCAGAGCTTCAAGGAGTGCAACACAGATGCATATTGTGGTGACTAATATTGTTTGCTACATACTGATTTCATGAAGAGCTGAGAAGTGGATTCTGCTGCAGGACATGCAAGCCATGGCAGGCTTGCAAGTATCTAAGACTGGCATTATGAAATAATAGCAATCACTTGATGTTCACTTTTAATACACAGATGATTGCATCCATTAAAATGTTTAGTACAAAAATGACAGCCTCATGAAAATGTACGATTTCAATAAATTTCAATAATGAATGTAACCAGTAATCATGATGCCAGCACTGGAAAAGGAAAATACACCATTTTCAAGACACACAGACTAACCTACACATAGCCACACCACTTCACACACACAGTAATGTGCTTGCGCGTGTGCGCACACGCACGCACGCACGCACGCACGCACGCACGCACGCACGCACACACACACACACACACACACACACACACACACACAGAGTCAGAGAGTAGTGAGCCACCCGTGTCCTGTAGAGTTTTAGTGGTGGTGGCTGAGGTATTACTCTAAGTAATGTTGTAGACCAGCTCATTAGTCACTGGATAGAGCAGCTCTTCACCTCAGGAGAATGGAACTGCACACACACACATATACACACAAATACTGTACACACACACACCCACACACATTCATCTCATGCAGATTGTTCCAACAAAAGCAAACAACTGCGGCAGATATGTGGCTGCTGGTTGTTAGTAAGAGAGAGAGAGAGAGAGAGGAGAGAGAGAGGAAAAGGTGGACTGTGGACGGTACCTTGATGTATGAGCTTCTGTATGTCTGTCTTCAGTGTTTTATCAGATCGCCTTTTACTTTAGCAGTTCTGCAGCATCAATAATTAAGTTTTTAATTACAGTGTACACAGACAGCAAGACAAAGAGAGAGCAGGCTGGGGACAGGGGAGGGAGAGATGCGTTGAAATAATTGGATCTAGCTCCAGGCACATCAAACACTTTCACAATGTGGTCAACTGCTTTTGACAAACATTTTTGGTGACTCACTCTCTCACTCTCTCTCTCTCTCTCTCTCTCTCAAAGTGGTAAATATTGACTCTTCACCTCCGCATAGTTCCATGCTTTTTTAGGACAAGTAAACATGTCCATGTTAATGTACGTGTATATATGAGTATAGGGACTTGCACTGCACTGTCTATATTATTGCCTATTCATACTCTTTAATAACACTGGCCACTTAATTCAGTCTAATAAAAACTATAATATAGGCTAGGGGCCTCTGGAAATTGACTGTAAGTGTGCTGAGTTGACAGACATAAATGCGACTCAGACCAGAGAATCAGAGAGGACACTCAGGTAAATGGATTTTATTACAGAAAAGTAAAGTAGATGTACATATACTATATGTGACCTATAATAAAATAAGTGGATATGGATATGTAAATTAAACTAAATGGCAAAGCAACAGAGCTATCTGAACTCATTTAGTATTATTGGGCTAAAAGACTTATCATTACTGTCTCCTTAGCAAAACCACCACCTTACCCTAGCTAACTAAAAGCAACCGTTAGGTGATAATTATTTACTTGGTCAAAAAGGGCACTTCATTCAGAGAGGTGAAAAGGGAAGTAGAATGAGCCCCTAAAGCCTCTATGTGTGAACGTCTCCTAGTAAGTGTGTGTGTTTAAGTGTGTGAGTGTTCCCTGTTGAGATCAAGCCACAGTATAAGTTGTAAAACCTTTGATAAAGCGATCTCTCCCTAACAGTGTGCAGCCAAGTAGTCATTAATAATGCATGTTACACTCTGCCACACACTTATTTATTGAAGCATGAGTAGACACACATAGACACACACTTGTGTCACACACCTGTGGCTAGGTAAACTGTGGCCTTTCAAAGGTCATCCATCATACAGAGTTAGAGATCAGAGACGGAGAGACAGGGAGGACGAGGAGAGAGAGAGTGAAAGAAAGGAGGCAAAGAGAGGATGAAAGTTTGAAAGCAGTCGACAACTGAGTGAAAGTGGCTCAAGTGCCTTGGGCTATCTCCAATTATATTGACATTGAGAGTCACTCCCAACCTCATATCAAAGGCATTGAACAAGAAAGTCCCAACTACAATGAAGGTTCTCTTCCTGTATTCTGTCTGATAAACTTTACAGCCAAATCACTTCACTTAACTTAGAAGATTGGTCAGCAAAAATCAGCTCCAAGAAAAACCACTATGTCTGCTGGAACGGTCTATGTATATCAAGTTCCGATTTGACTTTGCTGGTGTTTTTTGTTTGGTTTATGTTCACTGTGGTTTATCCAAGAAGCCCTAGAAAAGACACGGAGTGACACTTGAAAAAATAAAAAACATTTTACATTCTGAGCTCAAAGCCTTTTTTTCTCTCATCTCTCATTCTACCATCCTGTGCACTCATCTTCCTTTGCTCATCTGTCCATCAATCCAGTCATCCAACATGTTCATGCATTTTGCCCTTCTTTCACATTATCCATTTATCTCTGCATCCATACATCTCAGGACAGAGAATCAAATATCTGTGTGCCTTGAGGTTACTCGGGAGAAGATGAGACACAAAGACGCAATAAAGAGTGAGAAGTGATTGATGTCCAGAGGTTCGATGTACTGTCAGAGTCAGGCTGGCTGCCCCCCCCCCCCCCCCCCCCCCCCCCCCAGTTGCAACCTACCCTTAATATACGCATACTGTAAACACACACACCAACACACCATCTGACCTCCTAACCGTCTCTTTCTTTTATCACTTGGATTGCACACTGAAGCCCAATTTCTCCTTGCTGCTTACGCGTCTCATGGCACCAGTACTCGGAAAAATGATAAGAACACCGGGGTGTTTACTTAACATACACAAGACAGACACTTGGCAGTAGATGTGTTTATGAACATTCATAAATACTCCCTCTCCATTCCTAGTAAGACAACAATGATGACGCCTTATAAAGGCAGAGTAGGGGATGCTGTGAACCCCCTCTGAATGTATAAAAACAGTTCAATCTCCTGATATTAATGAGCATCTCTGACCCACTTCTGGGCATAATGGGGAGGGGGAGAAAGGAGAATCTCCCCAGGGTCAAAGCTCTCATTATCACATTGAATCCGGCAAAAGGAAGACCTCAGTCCCCACTTTCTACTCTTCTTTGAGCATGCTTTACCCACATACAATCTATATCTATGACCTATAACATCACGCAAGTAAGTACATCAATTCTATACATATCATATCACCACTGGTATGCTGTTACAAAATGACCTCAACTACAAATAAATAATACACACCATTCAGATAGTAACTTGTGAAAATGTAGAGGCCTCTAGAAGGCTGTTGTTCCAAATATTTGTTTCCCTCAGAGGAAACCTTTTGTTATGGATAAACTTCCCAGAACCTGTTGCCAGAAAATCATAAAAATGTTATGAATGTGACTTCCTCATTTAAAGGATCACTTCAACCAAACTCACACCAATCACACGTGAGATGTGACACCTCAGTGAGATGAATATTCATCCATCCATTTTCTACCGCTTATCCTCTAGTAGGGTCGCGGGGGGGCTGGAGCCTATCCCAGCATCCTTTCGGGCGAGAGGCGGGGTAAACCCTGGACAGGTCACCAGTCCATCGCAGGGCACACAGAGACAAACAACCATTCACTCTCACATTCATACCTATGGTCAATTTGGAGTAACCAATTAGTCCCCATTTGCATGTCTTTGGACTGTGGGAGGAAGCCGGAGTACCCGGAGAGAACCCACACAAGCACGGGAGATGAATATCTAAATGAATAAATAAAAGCCAGATGGTGGTACAATAGGATACTTTATGTTTTGGCCAAAAAAAATATATAATTTATCACCAAAATATTTTTCAAAATCTTTATTATTATGTCAATTATGCTGGTTAATGGAGGATCGTAGACCATTAGATATCTGACAGATATTCAACTCAACTTTATTTAATGTATTGGAATATAGCAATTAGTTGTCCAACTGGGGTGGTAAATTTGCCCTGTAAATGTAAAATATAGAAATACAAAATAAAAAGATAAAGTTACTATACATTTAAAATGGTATTTTCAATCTTTTTACTTTGACTAGATGTCAGGATTACATTTCTACCATTAAATCTTCCCACCAACACTAAATTATAAGAGGTGTTGTACTCTGCAGCTAAAGCCCTCAGGCTCGGTGTTGTGGTTCAATCCAATCCTCTCCAAGTTAAACAGCCAAGAACAACAGGCTTATTTTCCACTGGCAAGTCTGAACAGTTAAATCTTTTTTCTTGGTTAACCCTATCCCATCTCTCCAAGAGCCCTTTGGTTGGACTGCCAGCCTAAGAACATAGTCCATGATCAAGTTAAAATAATCTGTCCACCAAGTTTCACATGTAAGCTAAATGCACTGAGCTTGTTCGTTTCAATACAGGAGGCATCATGGCAAACTATTTCTTCAATACAAGAATATATCCGTATATGTGTATTCCAGCTTGATGCAGCTGCTACCTTTATGAAATTTGCATGATTAAATGTCACAAATATGTCATATGTCAAATTTAATCATGCAAATTTAATAAAGGTAGTAGCTGCATCAGCGCTTCATTAAATCTTCAGAGTTTTCACCACATACACTTTGGCTACTGAATGTACATAGTCAGGACTACAGCAAGAACTGATGGAAAACTTCTCTCTCTCACAGCCCTTGTTAATAACTCTCCCATCCTGCTCAGCTTTCAGACTAACAAACTGACAGTTGGTTCCTTTGAGTGGGATGAGTCGTACCTTCAAGGCAGCAGACCTCTTCCGCAGCAGCTGTTCAATGTTCCTGGCTGCTCTGGCCACCAGCTCCTCTGCGTCGTTTTGTTCCACAGTGTAGAGGTGCTGGTTTCTCAGGAAAATCTAGACACATACAGGGAGTAGAGATAGTATACAATTACACATGCATTTGATGATTTATTAAAACCTGGTGTGTCAGATTTTTAGTTGTTTTCTATTTAGATGATGAATCCAATTTTGCTTGAAAACAAACAATATATTATTTTCGGAAAATTCTAGGGCTTAATTAAAGTTTTAAACAAGGACATGTGCAATGTGACGTCCTTTGTGCATCGATATGTACAATGTTAAATTTGGATTATGCACCTTATTTGTGCATGTGTGTGTAGTGTTTGGGTGTTTATACCTGAGTGAGGCTCTTCCCAGCTGTGGCCGTGTCTGCCAGGGTGACAAGCTCTCTCTGCATCTGATCAACCCATTCTTTAATCCTACGGGAGAAAGCAATGCACACAATAAATCTTGTAACTCAGATGTAACCAGTTTAGATGACACATCACAGACATTTCACCGTGCAATTAAACTGTCAATCAACTTATCTGACATCTATCATCTAACGAGACCATCCAAGTCACACAGCGCCAAAACAAACAAGACCAAAGAGAATCACGCCAATAGGTCAAGCAAAGTGTCAACCAATCAGACCAGGAACAAATACAATGTCCTCTAATCCAACATGTGTCACTGGGTGTCAACCAATACCATTACTCTCTCAGAGTTCAAACATGAAGTCAACCAATCAGATAAGTGTCAGCCAGTGTTGTGACTGGTGAGGGTGATGTGAGTGGACAGGTGAGAGGTAGGAGGTGGCCAGGACCGACGTGCTTGTCTGTGCATCAAAGAACTCCAGGGACATCAGGTCCAGCCTGCTGGTGCCACACACTGGATTATACCTTCCTCTCATCCTCCTCCAATCATCATGTCAGAGAACAATAAGCTCACAGCATGTATGATAATATACTGACATAGTATATCCCTCCTTGACTCCTGGACAAAGTGGCTTTGGAAGGAGATAGATGAGAGGAGAATGACAAAGACCTAAGACACTATGCATTAAGTGACACAATGACTTGTTAGAATAATCCTGCTAAGAGATGCTTGCAGTAGCAAAATACTTGTGTGCATGTAGGTGCATTAATTCACCATATATGCTGCCATGCATGCACACACACACACACACACACACACACACACACACACACACACACACACACACACACACACACACACACACACACACACACATACACACACACACACACACACACACACACACACACAGGGACAGAGACAATGACATTAATATTGCATGAGAATGATAACAGGTTGGCATTGGATACAGTCATTATGATGTGTTCACACTAACACAGACTCAACTGTGACCCTCCACCCAACCCCCATTCAAACATAAGAAATGAACATAAAAAAAAAATGAACAGGCATGCATACCCTAGAAAATATTCCCCAAAAATTGTCACTGCAGCAGAGCAATGAAAGTCATGCAAGTTATGCAAAACATATCCAGCTGAGGGAGGTGATGAGATACAAACAAAAAGAGAAAGGTACAGAAGATGAAGAAGCCAGAAAAGAAGTGGCAAAGACGCATCAGGGACACAAAATCCACAGTGGATGAGGAAAATTCAGAGCAAGAACACTTGTGGAGAAAGATGAGACACTTTGCAAGAGAGAGAATACCACAGGGGATAGTACAATGTGAATCTGTTTAGGAAGGTGGAGATATTAGAGCAGGGTCAGGCATAATTCAGATGCTATCCTGTTATTCCCAAAGCCAGATGGTTTAGGGGTTGTGAACAACACTGCCGAGTCAGACTTGGCAGAGCCTTATGGCTATGTGAAGGGAAATTAACATTCGTTCAGATACTGTATGCTTTGGTGATTTAGAGCACCATTCCTGTTGTTTGGGTATTTTGCTGCCAAATAATAAATAATAAATTTGGTTAAAGAGTTGTGACCAAACTATACCGACATTTTATAGTAACGGACAAACAGTGTAGTATCAATAGTATTTATTAATTAAATCACCATTTTTTAATTTACTCTTTGGTATTTATATACTGTAACTTTTTGTTATTTGTCATAATAATGACATACCAGTAATAACCTAATGTCAGCCGTTAATAACAGTGATGTCATCAGACACCAGTCATCTCAGCCAGGCTTGGAGTCTTCTACACATTGTTTTTGAAAAGACTGTATCGAGTTGCATTATGGGAAGTCTAGGATTGAGAGTTTTTGTAGTTTAAACCAAACTAGCAACTAAAAGTCACCAGACTATCTCCACCTCTGCTGCTCCAACTCTGACCATTCTTTCTCTTACGAGCCCCTAACTTTATTGAAACATATGGAAATATAATACTAATACTATAATACTAACTTCAAGCAATTCCTTGTATCTATGCCTGCATAATTTTCAAGGCCCATACGCTCACTACGAAAGTTGCGTAGGCCTCCGCAAGTTACGCAAGGTCCCCGTGTGTTAAAGCAGGAGTCAATGTTTACAACTTTGGGAGGACGAAGAGGAACTATCTTTCTCGTCACGAAAAGAAAAGAAAACATCGTGAGAGTGAACTGCGGGGACAGCAACAGGTAAACGTGTTCTCTGCTTTCCAAGTTTGATGTTAGCAAATAACAGTATGCTAATATTTAGGTGCTAGCTTGCAGTGCATCTCTCTAATCTGTCTGCCCCGCTAAATTAGCTTGGCAGAGCGACTCTTGTTTTGTCTGTTTCTTGCTTACCTGCTACTTCCAGGACTGTTCTGTGACTTTGTGTCTGGTAAAAGTGAGAGTGAACGCCAACTAGCAACTGTGTTTACAGACTGCAGCTCAGAAATGATAACCACATCGCGCGACTACCAAATGAAACTTGTACTTTCCAGCAGCAGCAACCTGTGGGGACTAGTCCACATAATACATGGCGGAGATAATTTTAAAACAACACAATGACTATCTATTCTCTCAGTCGAGCTTTGCAAGATGGATAGGCATTGACTATTGATTCAACATTGAACTTAAATTGTTGTTGGTTAGGCATATTGGGCAATATGGATGCACATCTCTCAGTAAACAATAACCATTATGTATTAACAAGCCATAGAATAAATAGTGTTTTGTATTTGAACATTTCTAAAAGGAAATCTGGGGGAGCCTGATGCAGCTGATAAAGTTCATAATTAAAGCTGCTGTCATAGCCCATAGGCTTATATATCAATAAATCCTATCAATTCCAATCCCTAATTCTGGTGGGGATACAGTGACTGTAGATGTATGTCCAATGTGCATTTGAGAGCAACATGACCATTTAGATTTCTTACATGAGAACATACTTGGCCAATATAACAAATTCTTCATGATTCTTGCTATACAGTAAGATGTTTTGAAACTGCCTCTCCTCTTTTGTCCTCTTCTTGCCTCTTGTTCACTATCTTCTCTTTAACATTCTCCTCTCTTGATCCTCTCCTCCCCTCTGTCCCACTCTCCCGTGTCCCCAACTCTCCTAACAGCAAGCTGATTGTAAGGTGTTTTAGTGGACCCTTGGACCCCTAAGCTCTCAAAGCCTGAAGCATTGACAAGACAATTGTGGGTCGTGTGTGTGTGTGCGTGTGTGTGTGTGTGTGTGTGTGTGTGTGTGTGTGTGTGTGTGTGTGTGTGTGTGTGTTGTGTGTGTGTGTGTGTGTGCGTGTGTTTCCAGGGGCTTGACATTCAGAGAAGCAGAGGGCTATCTCTCCAGAGTTTAGCTTCTGTGAAATCAACTGCTACCAGTGTAAATCTCTATAACAAAAACTCTCAGGTGCTGACAAATGGATGAGACAATACAGGCTGTGGTGCAGTATGTGTGCATGTGTTCTTCTGCACAACCAATATGGATGACATGAACTTTTCTCTTTTTAAAAAAAAATCTATTTAGAATATTTTGTTGAAGGCTTTAGAGAATTGTCTGATCTTCAGAATAGCTCAGCCGATTCCTCACGTTACTGAATCTCATGTATGTATATTTGCTTTGTGTGTGTGTGTGTGTGTGTGTGTGTGTGTGTGTGTGTGTGTGTGTGTGTGTGTGTGTGTGTGCGTGTGTGTGTGTGTGCGTGCACGCCTGTGAGTGTAAATACCAAACACTGCAATGTTCAGACAAAGAAGTCTTGGCTGTAAAGTTCTCACCTAGCTCATACAGTAAAGGACCTAGAAAGTTATGCTACCCCCCAAAGCTATAAGCCTGTTGCTTTAAATGAATATTCGCAGTCACATTTGCTTGTTAAATAGGTGTTAAACGATCAGATGTATTATCCATAGGCATGGAAAGTCTCTGCACATTAATTCTTATCCTTAAACTATGCATTTCCAAGCATCCCTTGAGGTCCCAACCTGGTTTAATGGCAATCTGTCACACTGTTATCACACATATTGTAAACTCTTATCAATGGCTAAAATAACATGATGATTTAGAGAGGCCTGTATAGTCATAAAGTCAATGTTGTTGAGCTGAAGTAGCAAAATTTTTCTGCTCTGGTTGCTGGGCTTTGATTACTGCAGCCTCTGGTACAACACTGGATAATTAAACACACACACACACACGCACACACAAATGCACATACAAATGGCAACTGGGTCAGACACTGCCCTACATTGTTTTTCAGACACAGGAAGAGCAAATGAGAGCAAAACAGAAAGAGAGGCGGAGAGACAATACAAGAAGGAGAGAGACAGATGTTGTGGTACCATCACTTTGGAACTAGAGAAAGTAATGAGCTGGACTGTAGTGTGTATCTCAGTGGGAGGCTGTGTTAAACTACAGTCTAATTACACATCATTACCGAGGCAAAGACAGAAGTGGTCCAGTCCAGACAGCAAAGCAGAGTGAGGCATGGAAACACCAACAGTAACGCAACAAAACAACCCACAGTGCTCTGCTCAAGCTCTGTAGCCTATACGCTAACACACAAGTGGCCAATTCAATCCTGCTTCAGACTGGCTCAGATACCAAGAAGTGGTATGACATGAAGTGTAGGGTTTTTGGATCAAGCTCTGACCAGCCCAGTGCCTTCTGTCTTTCTGTGCAGTTCAGCTTGTTGGTGATGTGACTCTGAAATATTCCTGGCACAGCCAGCGTGAGTGATAGAGTGACACTGAAATGTTGCTCTAGAGAATCTAAGGTAGTGCAAAATGTTAAGTCTCCTGAGTAGTTACTGGAACAACAGATATTTAGGGTCATGACGAGACACAATTACAGGTTACAGTTTGCCAAACTCCCTTTACGTAATCAGTGTTTTTCTCTCCATCGGTTTGATCGGTGTAATCCAGGGGAATGCACTCAATGAACTTGAGTGTTGTAACTAGTTCATTTTAATTTCTTTTCGCTCATTTTATCTATATTCAAACACGCATTCACACTTTTCCTTCGAGATGTATTAGAGCCATCATTAGATATATCCCTCTCAGTATCTAGTCATGCAGACAGCATGCAGGGTCATTAACTTAAAAGATTAATTTGGACACAATCATGTATATTTAGTGCTTGTTAGTTTTAATGAATATCTGTTAGGCAAGAAAGATTATCTTGTTTTTTTTTCTGGACTGCAGCAGTAATGAAAAAGGAGTACAGTATATGCCAAACGATCCAGGCCATAGATTTTCTTCTGCTGGGGACTGAAAGGGAGTGCCTTCAACAACCTCCTCTATTTCTAATAGAAATTGAAAACAGCAACAATTCAAAGAAGGAGAAAGCACATGGAAATATAAAGATGGTGATGTTGAAAGGTCTGAAAAGCCTCCTATGTAATGTGCAATTATAATGGATACTGGGACCTGGAACTTTTTTTAGCACTCGAATCCAAAACATTTTTAGGATTCATGCTACAACCTACAGAGGACATGCCACTGGAGAGTGGACTTGAATTGGTGATATGTAATTTTTAGAATATCAGCAGTGTTTCTGTAACTTCATTTGTTTGATGCTGTGCAATTGGATTGCATTCTAATATTTATTCAGCCTTCAGTGACATTTTTTTTGGTTAGGTCTCTTTTGAAAAAGAGGTCATGTGTGTTAAGAGATGTCCTGGTTAAATTAATAATAATAATAACAAAGTATTTTTATCTGTAGTTAAATGCATTAATCATTGACTCTAATGTAAATAAAGGTGCATCCCCATCAGAATTCTAAACACATGACTAAAACCTGCTATTATAATTGTCTTTTAACAACAGTTAAATATTTTCTGATGCTGTTCATTTTTTAAATATCTATCTATGTGTTGATTTTCCATCTATGACTCAAACTCTTGAATGAATATAGCCTACCTCAAATTTATGTGGCCTTTAACTCTGTAGAGAGGCTCTGAATCAGGTGTTCAGGTGAAGAATGCAACTTTTGTCCTTTTGCATAAAGGAACAGGAACAGACGAGGCCACTGTAACTCCTCAACAACTTCATAGAGGAGCTGTCACGGTGTGGCATGGCCACAGTCATCCAGCGGTGATAAACTGCTGATTATGTTAGCCAACATTAATCATCACCTGGAGGCGGGCAGCCAGAGAAAAGCTGAAATATTGTCTACCCTTAAATGTGGGGCCCATCTTCCCAAAGATGACCACCGGTGCATGAATGAAACGACCTGCCCACCACACTCTCACACCTCCATGCGCGCACCTATTGAGCAGCCTACACACCGCGAGTGGCTCATTAGATGTAACACTTGTCTCTAAACGACGAGCACTTGAAACAAGGAGTCTGCAAATCACAACATTTACTGCCCAGAGTAGGATTATAATTGCTGTACTTACATGAGCTGTGTCGGAAACTGCGATGCCAAAGACATGTCCTGCCATAACAGGACCAGAAACACCCAGGCTCGTACCCTGCAGGTATCCATTGTAAAAAAAAAAGAGGGGGGAAATTCCCCGACGCGCGTCAACACCAAATGTGCTCTGCTCCCCTTCGCCGCCGATGAATGGGAGCGGTGTGCAGAAGCAGCAGCGTGAGCGGCAGTCTGTCGCTCCCTCACAGATTAACGAACCCTGACACCTCTAATCTGATCACCCGGCAATCCAGCGCTCTAACAGGTACTGGAGCCGGATATTTCAGTCTCTCTCTCTCGCTCTCTCTCTCTTTCTCTCTCTCTCTCTCTCTCTCTCTCTCTGTCTCTCTCTCTCTCTCTCTCACCCCCCTTGCCTCCCCTCCTATTCAATCTAGTGAAAAAAAAAACATGCTCCTCAGATCTTCTCATGGGGACTTCTATGTGTTACTCATTACTGCCTTAACCTAATGCAGTTTAAACTATCCATATTTTTGTATATTATTCAGTCTAATAGTGACTATTTTATATGATATTTCAATAGAAGCAGTGATATTTGTTTTGATCTTAAAACCATCAGTATGGCCAATATTACCTTCCCTCCAGGTGTACAGCATTCTATATTGGGAGCAACAAATTGTTTTTTAACCTCCCTATAAAGAAACACTTGATAAAAGGAATGTCTGCCGACTACAAGTACCACACACACAAGCGCACGCACACAGAATACAGATGCAGGTTTTGCTTTTTAAAATGCCCTACAACCTTGCAATGCCTACAACCAGGAGGGATGGGATAATTTACTGGCTTTGATAGCATAGTCTTTGCCAGTCATCCTGGTAGCATGAGTGGCAGCAGGCAGAGAAACTGTCCCACATGGGAATCACTGCCACACTGACAGCTGTATTGACTTCACACATGTGTGAAGCAAAGTAGAGTAAAAGCTCAATAAATCGCAGTGCCATCAATCATACCTGTTTTATAAGATTGAATTTGTGGCTATGTGCTGCGCATCCTAACATGAATGTATAAATTATAGAACATATACAAGCTCCTGCACCACTGCAGGATATAAAATCACTGTTATCATTTTAAATTAAAGGAGCATCAACAATTTGACTGAATAACTGAATAACAAAGCGATAACATAAAACCCATGTATGTGTGTGTGTGTTTGTGTGTGTGTGTGTGTGTGTGCATGTGTGTGTAATTCAGGCCTGGAGGGAGGGCAGGGCAGCACAAGCAGGATGCTTGGGGATTTGATTATCAATCGTTGCTTGGCAACCACACACCATCTCTCGTGTCCTCTCACCCTCCCCTCATCCCTTCCCTCCCTCTCTCTCTTTGTCTCTCCCATCCCCACCTCTCCCCTTCCTCTCACTGTACCACGCTGTGAGTCTTCCCCCCTCAGTTTTCTCCCGTGTTCTCATCCTCTCACTCCTGGTCACATCACCCTGTCCACAGTCTTTCTCACTACACCTTTCTCACACTCATTTCCCCCGGCAGAGGAACAGATGCACCTGCTGATGGGATGGAGAAAAGTAAGTGAATGGTGAGAACTGGAGAGGTGGCGTGGAGTGGAGAACATAATAGCAAAGAGCAGTGTGGAGAGGATGGGGAGGAGGAGGCCTCTTCTGCAGACATCCCCATTCAGTAGTTTTTTTTTGGGAACATCTCACACTACATCCTGAAAAGGGAGTGGTGTCGGACTAATAGCTGCACTTCTACTCCTCTAATCACATTCTTATAGATACCAACCGACTACCTATAAGAAACAGATGTTAGATTAGTTGAAGAGGAGAATAAAAACTCATGGCATATGTCGGACAACTTGTCTTTGTCTCAAGTTAATCCCGACTTCAGAAGAGAGAACCACCTGTAGACATGGACATCCTTGGTAATGATGTTAATGTTATAACATGTAAAAGCACCAATAGTTAAAGATCACTTACACAGTACAGTTAAAGTTGGAGGTATTTGATAGAGGATACTGCCATCTGGAGGAGATGCATTAAAATCACAAAAATGATACTTAAAAGCAAATGCACTATTAATTTGGGACATAGTCTTTTTACATAGTCCTTAGTTTGCTGTGTTCATTTTCTGTACGAAGAGTGCACGTACAATAACAATATTCAAAATTCACAAACATAAACAATGTATATTTATAAAAGATGCCCATATCCATGCACACGTGTTGTACATTTACATATTGTACATATTCATACCTGAATACCCGTAATAACAGTATAACAAGCAATGTAAACCAATACTCCAAATGTAAATAATTATATATAGTGCCTGTGAAGTACTAAATAGTCCTTTTCAATCTCCAAAACCCCAGCCACATGAGTCTTGATTAAAAACCTTTTTTTGGCATGACCCACTATGACTCTAAACTGTGTTTGTGTTGGTTAGATAGAATCTACTAAGCTTATATAAACATAAATAAATACTTTTTAGAACAGGAACTAGAGACTTCTTTAGATATCTATCCAAAGACCTGACTTGAAAGCAGGAAACCTGTGTAATAAACAAAATCAAAAGCTAAAAAAATAAAAATATTTAGAGTCAGGAACTGCCAAGTATCTGCTTCTTTATTCCTCTGAATTTATCTAACCATGATGGAGCTTTTACCTCTCAACATCAAGCATGTAATAATGAAACAAAATTAAAAATATCCAATTATTGATAGAGAAAAGTAGGAAGCATTCATTTTTGTCATCAGCATAACAGATGATACCCAGCGGGAGCAGAAGCCAAATTACATTAGATTCAAAGTATTGAGCCCTCAGTGGCCCCAGAAAGCATATGAGCAGGAGAAGGCACATTCTTCCCAACAGACTCATTGGAATCAAATTCACTTTCATCAATGCAGAACAAATTTTATGTCTGTCCTATAAGATGTATAATAGGCCTAGTTGGTTGCTTTGTTGTGAAATTGTAGCATAACGTAGCAGTAGCAAACTCCAAACCACACACAAGCACTTTTAAGATATAAAATTGTGATACGACCAATGTGGTGCAATGACAGTGAACTGGAGCAATTCATTAGACTCATCATCTGTTCAAATAAACAGCAAACAAAAGGACCTTTAGAAAAAGTGCTAAATAATCAATCTGACATAATTATGAATAAGTATAACTAATCCAAGTTGGGGGAACCTGTTTTACGTCTTACATTATCTTCATGGGCCTGCATTATATGATGACTTTAAGATGCTACACATCAGTGTTGTGTAACTGCTAAAGTGTTATTTGTTCTTATTTCTGTTCCATTTGTTATTTATTTCCATTAAATTCCTACTTAATGGAATAGTATATTTCACTATTTATTACAATGACCTACAAGAACAGAAGCTCTTGGCTGGTTACAAAAGTTACAAAAAATGTATCATATTTACATTTATTCAACTCTATAAAAAAAAAAAACTAATGTAAGAGTTAGTTTAAAATGATTATTACATATACTTTATCTGCCTTTGGCCCATCCTTTTTTAAGGTTTATCCATCCCTCATTTGTTAAATCAGGATCAGGAAAAATAATCAATGAATTCCAACAATGGTCACTTCTTTGGCAGATTTGCTTGACACTGATGTCACTGATTAAACAATGTGAGTCTTACTGTTGTATTCTGTATAACAGAATTGTTAATGTAAAAATATTTTTAGAATTTCTTTGATATTTCCTCATGAAAAGCCCAAAGATCATGATAAACATCATAAATGAATTTTTTTTTAATTTTGTAGTATAATACCATGCACTTCTTCTAGAACCCGTAGAACCAGGAGAGCTGCTCTGCCCCACACACTGAGTCAGTGCTGCCTCACCGTGGCCATGTCTTCATATTGCAGCTAAATAAAGCATCAAAGACATGACCAAGCCTGTTGTTGCAGAGATAAAATCTGGGATGTACTAGTCCCGGGTTCTGATATGCTGCAGTAAATACCCTGACTTTAAACTCAAGAAAAAGGAAGACAGAGTATGTTGGCACAAACTCTCAGTTAAACCAGATAGAGATGGTAATGTGGAGGATAATTTCGTCAAAAAAGGTGATGAAAAAAGAAAATGGCCAGTTACAAAAAATAGACTGTAATAATAGTAAGTATGACAATAATAAATGGTTTTGAGAAGGGGTTACTTTCTTATTGCAAATATGTTCTTAAATTAAAACCACAGAGTGCATGACTTTGGCACCATCTGGTGGCAGCATCAAAGAAAGCTTTGTTGCTGTTCTTGCTATGACAAGCCAAAATGTCTGAACAAGACCTATTAGCATGACAAATGAAACCAAGCTCAGCTCTGCATGTGTAATATAGCTCTTCTTAATATTTATTCTTTAGACTCAGGGGAAACAGCTGATTTTTTACAGCACAATTTGCATAATATCTCAACACATCCTGTGTACAACCACAAAACCATAACATTAGATTCTTTGTTTTTACACTGAGTGAAAAACAAGACAATTTTACAAGCATATTTCTTTACAGTCAGCATACAGATAAATCTATACATACTCTGTCTCTTTTTAAACATAATCTGTAAGCAAAATATACTGACAAACCATCAACAAAACATGCAACATCCAAAACATAAAGTCTCAGACAACTATTGAAGTTGAATAGATTTTTTTTTTTTCCCTTTGTGTTGTTTCAGCCGTTTACAGGACGTGGTTGCACAGATAGTCATTGGTTGACAGCACATGTTTTGATTACACAGTCAACTCCCCTTATACAACTATAGACACGCATTGCTGTACAGTTATTAAGTCTTTTGTGATTTTTTTCGACACTCACATGCTCAAACTTCGGACAATATAAACATTCAATCTTTGTAGAAAATAAACACTTTATGTACACATGTCAAAGGACTTGAGTCACATTCACACCCCTCAGAACGACAACAAATGGATGGTTTCACAATTACAGGCAACAGCTGATCTGAACAAACAGTAATTAGCTTGAAGGAAGTCTAATGAAACACGGGGGGCTAAACAGTCATGACTGAGCATTGAGGGAATATGTCTTTTTTACACCAACTGTTCAGTGGACTATAAGCATGATGTAGTAAGGGTGATTTCTCCCCAGATTGTGCATTGTGTTTAGGAACCCCAACATGTCTGCATGTTTTTCTTTTGCCACATAGATACAAAATGTACACCACAATATTTTCTGCCACCACATACACCATGAGTCAGTTCATTTCAGTGCAGAAACACAAAACACATAGTCTTGCATGTCATGAGAGTTTAAAATGAGACAAGAAAATAAATAATGTAATAATAAAGTGCACAAGCTCCATGTAGATGTTAACGGCTGTTAACATCAATATATATTAAAATCAGTAAAAAAATCATATATTTAATTTCTATTTAATATTTTCTCTCAGTGATGTACAAATTAAAGTCATTTTCTAGAAGACCATATGTTCACAGACAACATTTAATTCCAAAAAACAAATGCATTCAAACACATCTATGTTGCATAGAAGTACTTCAAAAGAACCAATGGGTCTAAAAAAAAAAAAAAAAAATTAGGGTTGGCACAGCAAAATAATTATCTGAAAAATCAGCCATGTTCCCTTCCTTTATATATCCTCTTTTTTTTTGATTCAAGTGACATCTTGTTCTAAGTGTATTTGTTGTTTCCTCTGATATATATTTATTTCTAAAAAAAAATTGCATCAGCCCTGTGATATGCCTAAATACACCGACAAAGGGTCACTTGATAGTGTACATGTTTTTTTTTTTGTTTTTTTTTGTCATTCTGTAGATATGGTGGCAAAACATGATGTATACATGGGTCACCTGCTCACACGTTAGTGCTGAGACTCGGTCCCATGCATTCTTCTAAACCTTAAATATGACTGAACCCCAGTGGGCCTGAGTGAGTGTTTTGGTCACAGGCAGTGAAAGAGGCTGGTTCACTGGTGTTGCAAAAGGGAGTTACTGTCACAAAACAATGAGTTTTACAGCACAGCCAGACACACAGAGGAACCTTGACATGTGACTGGACAAAAGAACGTTTTGTTTTTTTTCTTCTTTTTATTTTTAGTTGAAACTCAGACCAGGGGGCTTCACTAATACACAGAAAGCAGAGCTGTCATACTGAAGTGATGACAGTTGCAGATCTACGTATGATTTTTGACACAATTTGTGTGAATTACATGTCCATTCCAACAGTGTAATGACATGGTGGGCTACGCAGAAAGAGAAATCAGCATACTCTGAGCAACTACAACAGCCTTAAAGTAAAACGCTGTACACGTGACACGGATGTGATAAACTCTTGTCATCCTCTACAGTTGGGTTTGTGACATTCAACACGCAGCATGTGCTTTGGGCCTCAGAGCACGAGATGCTGTTCATTTTATTGTAATTCTAATCTTCCCTACACAATAGCATGCCAGTGAAATACCAATATGTCACTGGATGTTGACCTTGACCTTTATTTTGATCCTTCACAGCCCTGTTGAATATCTAGTGGTGCGTCAGTGTGATCAGTGGACCAAAGGAGCCATTTTTCAACAAGATCCTTGAGCTCACATAGGTCCATATTCACATAACAATTATTAAGACTGCCTACACCATAGACTAAAGTAGCCTACTGGATTGTCAGTGCGCCACCCACAGCCTCAGTCTAACAGAGTTCGTATGTGTATATTTTACTATATATAATCTAATGACAAGAGAACAACTCTTATACAGCATATTGTCTTTAGATATATTCTGAATCTGATAATCTTTGTATACTACATAAACATCACACTGTACAATGTGACTCTGATATGTTCTGTAATCTGCATGTGTGATATCTACATCTGAAGTGCTGTACATTTTATCTCCATCCCATGGCAAAGGTCAGCTGTCTGACTCAGTTCTACATAAAGGCTTTGTTATATGATTTTTCTTTATTGACTATCATACAAACATTATGCATTCCTTCATCTTTAAATATTCATAACATCTGATGTTCACACACATCACTACCGTCATTCAGGCATTACGACGATGACTGTCACATGACAAAAAAAACACAATGCTATTTCAGTTGATGGTTTTGTGATCAAAGTGAAATTCACCTTCTTTTTTTTTTGTATCCCCATCTTTCCCTTTGATAGATATGTTAGCTCAGTTGGACACCAAAACAACAATGTCTCATGTGGATCATGGAAGTGGAACTAAGGTAAGAACGACGTCTCTGCTCTCAAAGCCATGTGGCTGCTGAGTCTGTTTCAGTGCCTGCTGTGGCATTTGCACATTTGCATCCTACAAGTAAAGTCCACAACCAACAGAGACTGAACATGGGAAGAGGTGGACATGTGCTGGCAGTGTTGGACTGATACATTTATTATGGTATTAGCACATAATTCCCTCCTTCTTTTAACTTATAAACTGAGGAAGTAAATTAAATGGATCTTTTTATTTCCCCTTCTTGAACATTTTTTTTTCCTCATCCATTTTAGTCAAGTTGGATCTCTGAACTAATACAGTCTGGCTTCACCTTTCGTTGATCTCCCGCTAATCCTTTTTTTGGTGCAGTATTCAGGGGTTGGTCTGTGTCGAGCTGACGAACAGCTTGTGCCAACTGACCACTCTCTTCCTCATGTCCACCTTGTCCAGCCAGATGTATGCTTCCCCTATCAGGGTCTTCTTCATGAACTTCCCTCCATTAGACACCAAGAAAAGCTGGAAATACAGTGGAGAGAGGAACACATTTGTCATCGCTCACTCTGTTGCTTTGTGAGTGTTAGCTCGTGCACCCATTCCATCTTGAAAAGTGCACCCTTAAAAGCATGTTATCCAGCATGAATAATGCAAGCACCACTGGGCCAAGCGACAGGGTGTGGCCTATTGATCGATATATACCAATCTAGAAAGAAATAAGCAAGTTTAACCTTTAAATCTTGATGAAAAAATATAGATTTATTTGTGCGATCCTTTATTACATATACAACTATAAATAAATGCATTTATATTTGTTACACATTTCCATTCATTTTCCATTTAACACCGACTGAGAAAGAAGTTAGTAAGCATGAAATTGTGCAATTTGTAAGTATTTATTAAACTACAACTGTCTGTGTAGAATTATCTTTTTAAAGACACTACCAGCTACTTTTAGATGTTCATATCCTGCAGCCCACAGGAGGTGTTTCAGTCTCCCAGCTGCTACATGAGGCAGCGGACCAGTTTATAAATCTTCCCTTAATGAGGTTTAAGGCTTGTTTTGTCAGACGTTACAAGCCTCCAGCTTTAATTAACTGCAATGAGCCATTTAAGAGATTTAAGGTTGTTTCTGTCAACCATAAGGGAAGAACCATTTATATGCTATGATTATTAGATTAATAAGTATATTTTAACACCAAAATATCTGAAAAAAATGAATTTAATGTGATAAAATTTGAGCAGTATGACAAATCCTGTGTGACAGTTAGACGGAGCCACATCCGTAGTGTCGGGTGTCTGTTGTACCTGTATGGCGTGTCCAGTTGGGTTGAGAGGGAATCTGAAGGTCTCATTGAAAGAGGGCTCCCTGTCATGTCGACAAACTCTGGTCTTCTTCTTGATGATCCTCTTCTGAGTGGCCACATTCACCACATACAACTTCACATACAGATCTGAAGGCAAATTAGATAGATTAGAAGTATAAATAGATATGAATATAAGTTGGTGAAAATGCAAACTATTTTGGTGTGCACAAATACACACTACTTCCAGACCTGGTAGGTGGTCTGGGCTCTTGAACTTGTACGTGATGTTTCTGCATTGAAGGATCTCCAAGACCAGTTGGTCCCCTTCTGTCTTCACCTCCTTCTTGAGAGCGACCTTGATCTCCCCCATCACTTGTGTTTTACCAGCTAAAAGCAACAATGAAAGAGAGACAAGGGTGAGTGGGTGGGTGCACTAAGTACCTGTAGGCAGATTCCTACAGTTGCACAGAGAAGCATTTCCTCCTAGTGTCACTCAAACCTATTTGAATTATTTAACAATGATGCATCACTTAACCTGGGCTCACAGCAGAATGGAACCAGGTCAGAGAACATCCCTTCAGCTTCACATGGGTCTTATCGTAATTTTATTGTAAGTTAAATCATTTTACTAAGACAGTGTTAAAATGGTAAAATGTGTTAAATGACTCGTCAGGCACCATGGAAATGACCTCATGACCCTCATCTGTGTAACAGCTCTCAGGCCACAGCCTAAAATGTCCTTGGGCTCTTTGTTACAAATTGAAACTAGAGATGGAAGCGAGGCATCATGACACCTGAGCTACATGAAACGTAGATATAGTTATGACAGCGGGTAGGATAGTGTGACATCCACATCTCATCCACTATTCTAGCCAAGCATTAAGTCATTATGTTGGGTAAAAATTGTTAATTTATAATAAGCACTTAACTCAGCATTTGACTCCACAATTGAATAGTGCCATTATCAAAATGCAGTATAGAGATAGTTCAGTAGTGGCTGGGTAAATAAGTACATTAAAAAGAAAAAAAAAAAAAGTGTCATGACACAATGTACCCAGCAGGTGGAGACCTACAACCACGTAAGAAAACATCAGGACATAGCCTCAAGATTTTTACTGTAAAGGAGGACATTTCTGGAACTTGCCTTCATTTTCTGGGGTCCCTAGTTGGTTTTTTTCGGTGCCGTTGGGAATAGTCTTACCACTGCGGCACAAAAAAAAAAAAAAAAGACAAACATATAAGCGTTGCTTTATTTGTAAGACATCACATCTGTGCTAGAAATCAGTCATTAAATGGTCTTACATGCGTGGCACTTGGAAAATGGCACTGTCCACTCCAGTGCCCGCCCCCTCTTCCCCATCCAGACCTCCGTAGGCGTCTCCTACAAGACTTGGGGCAGACAGCACCACTGAACCTGAGACATCAGCCAGCCGGTGTCCTGGTCCTGAGGGTAAGAAGAGCAAGTATGCAGGTGAGGAAATATATATCTATCTATCTATCTATCTATCTATCTATCTATCTATCTATCTATCTATCTATCTATCTTATAAAAAATTATTTTAGGAAATTGTTTGTGCACGAACACAGAGCACCTCCACTGACACAGCGTTGACCACACACACATGCATGTCCAACAGATAAGCTGAAACACTTCACACTCAGCTATCACTCATTGCCAGTGACGCTGTCTGTCACACATAACTGACTGAGCATCACATAACAGCATATCAAGGGAGGAACAGATCAGCATAGATGACAGTTTGTCCTTGAATTTAGCAGTGCTGTGTGTGTGTGTGTGTGTGTGTGTGTGTGTGTGTGTGTGTGTGTGTGTGTGTGTGTGTGAGAGTGTGAGTGTGAGTGTGTGTGTGTGAGACCTCATTTAACACACGGCAAATCCCTTTACTCGAAATAAAGGTCACCAAGTTTAATTCACACATGAAAATGAATTTAGTATGAGACAATATCAATGTCCTTTTGTAGACTTGTAATAATTATTTGTTCTTGGCTCTTGGCTGCTGTTGAGTTATGCTCATACTGTACAGTATGAAAGAGTGAGATTAGTTCAGGGAATATGTGAAGTGTTTCTGTCTAGACTAAGATTAGAAACATTCTTTGCCTTCATGGTCACAGTGTCCAATGCTCATCTGCTTTACAATAATAAAAAAAAAAAAATGTGTGGTTAGGTTTGAAAAATAATCTGTGACTCAAAAGCAAAAGCTGGGAATTCTGTTCCTATAGGCAAAAAAAAAAAAAAAAAAGCACACTTGCATATGCACACGCAGACATTGACAGACTTACATACATGGAAATCATTAAATGAGAGATAACTGAATTAATTTATTACTTCACTTATTTACACATTTGGTTATATGGACTTAATTTTGTTTCTTATCTGTTTTTTAGTTTTTAGATGTATTGCATTAGGGTTAATAAGGTAGGATTAGTAATATTTATTACATTTTTCCTATGTTGTCTCACCTTCCCTTGACACTTCTGTTCCTCTCATGGTTAGCTGACCGCTTTACTCTCAATGGCCGGTGAGTGCAGAGTGAGCCTCCTGTTGACTTTTGAACCTCTTGGTGTTTCTGTGTTTCCTGGTTTGACTGGTTCAGTCTCACATTTGAGTCTCCTTTGTTTTAAGTGGCAGGAATGGGAAAGGACCGGGTAGGGAGGGGAGACTGTGTGCCATACCTGTGCGTGTCTGTGTGTGTATTTTGTGACTTTTTCTAAGGGTTCATTCATATGGCACACGCATGCACACACACAGACAGACAGCAGCATCACAAAGTCCTCAGTGGCCAGGGAGCAGTAGCCAGGGAAGCTGCAACTGCATGCTGAAATAGCTCTTGACACTGGGCTAACTTATCCCAGAGAGGGACGACAGCATACTGTAATCCTTCATCTTGAGGACATCACACTAAAGACTACGCCTAAACATGAATAGATATTGTTTAAATCATTTTAATCTGGTGCAAGACATGTAAGGGATTGCCATCCCAGCTTGGTTTCTATATCGGGATTGGAGGTCTCCACACTCAGGGTCTGTAGAAACCATATGCTTGGGACTGGCACATGCACACTCCATGTAGAAACAGAGGGGGTTAGCGGCTCTAATTTTGGAGCTAATTAAATATATTTATTCCTTAGTTTGGTTATTAATTGTTCAACTGTGTTAGTAACTCACAGTAATATATCAACTTTATATCCTACTTAAGTAAGTAACAAATAGGTAGCAAATTGTTAATGGAAAATGTCAAATACCATATTTGGAATATTTAGTGCACTGAATTCCAGATTCATAAATATTTAATTTTAGATTTTAGATTTTTACAGCAAGTTAGGTTTTGACATACAGTACCTCAGTTAATTGCATTATTCATATGCCTTGGATTTTTTGTGTAGTGATTATATTTTTAAGTCTGATCTAACTTGGAGAAGGCTGAATTAAAATAAGATCGTTGATAAAATCAAATCAATTTGTGGTCAGAGAGAAACGTAAGACGAGGAGAGCAGAAGGCAGAGGTAAAATGTTAAGGAGGTGATCTCACAGCAGTTCAGGTTTTCGTCAAACAATCTCGTTGCATGCGCAGGAAAAAAAAGGAAGCATGTCAGAGGAATTGAATCATGGGTAGGGGCAGCATTTACTTGGTTGCAGGCGGGACTGTTGCACGGCAGCCTCGGCGGCGGCAATGGCTATCCCAGCATCCTCAAGGTGAGCCTGAGTGACGCTGCTCTTGCTTTGGCTTCGGGAGGGGCCGTGGGAGCGCAGTTGGCCGTCAGAGGAAGACTTGGAGCTGCCTGGGCTGCTGTGTGACTTTTCCAAAGGCAACATCTGCATGTCTGGAGGAAGACATAATGTGGGTTTATGGCTGCTAAGGAGACAACAGCAAACTGTACATGAATTTAATCTGCTGTTAAGTGTAGTTAATATTTTCTGCTCTGTTGCAGCCCTGATTGTGCCGTGTTGCAGTTGACAAGCACATGGAGTTCATTTACAGGTCTCAAGAAATTATTAGCATTTCAGTTTCTGTGGCAACAGCCTCTAGCTCTATGCCAACCGAGTGACCACCTTATAAATGATGGGTTTTCTAACAAATGAAAAACAGCTGAGAATAATGCTATCAGTGTCATGATTCAGAATAGTCTCATAGAATAAACTGATTCATGGAAATTGAGGATGTGTATGAAGCTGAAAACAGATTTGTGTGGTGGACTCTTTTACCTTTGCCTGGATCAGGGAAGATTCCATGACTTCTGCTCTTGATTACAGAGTTTTTAGGTGAATCATGACTCCCATCTCCCTGTCCTGGCACTTGACCCTGTCCCATACCATGCCCAGGCCCCATCCCAGGCCCTGACATATGGCCCAGGCTTTGGCCGTGTCCCTGACCATGACCCTGACCTGACCCAGACCCTGGTGGGCCTTGAGTAGCATGGTGGGTTCTGCTGTGCTCAATACTCTCACTCTGCTCCTTCAGAGGCAGCCAGCGAGGAGTGTTGTCCAGCTGGGCAGTGTTCGACAAGTCAATCAACACCTGAGACACAATGAACATACACACACAAAGATGAAAATATATGACCCTCAGTCCAAGCCCAGCAATCAGCTACATCAGCTAGATAAATATTAAATGATACAAGGGAATAAGGAAAGGAATGTATTTAGCACAAGATAAATAGAACAGCTCACTATACAGATTTACAGGCATGAAGCAGAGCTTATGAGAGTTTGTGAGAGGAGAGACACCAGGCTAATATTATTAGGTTGTTTTAAGGACAGAAAATAAAGCACCAGAAACCTTTTGTGCAATTTAAATACAAAATGCATTTGACATTTTCACACACAGGATTCAAATTCCAAAAGCACTCACTTCTCCAAGAAAGTCATTGGAGGAGGATCTGTCATAGTCCCACACTGTCACCTCGAGCGTCTTTTTCTTTAACTGGAGAGAAAGAATGAAGAAGAGGAGAAAGGGGCACGGATTAAGATGAGGGATCTTGTGTGAATATGTATGTGTGAGAGAGCAATGTGTATAAGTGTGTGAGAGTGCCTGTGTTTGTGTGTATGTGGGTGGAAGAAGTGTGAAAGAAAACAGCTCAGGCACACTGTGTGCAGTGCATGAATGAACGCAAATCTAGGAGGGATACTGTAATGGGCAAAGAAGCGAGGGGTTACACTCGATTTGGTTTGTTCAAATATATGTACATGCATGTGGGCACATACCTGGGAATGTTTATATACTGTATGTCTGTATAGGACTGTGTGGGAAGAGACGGACACATATCTCAAGGGTTGGGGAGTGGGTGAATGAGCGATGCAGCAGCATTTTTAAAGCCAGCAGTGAGTCATGATTAACAGAAGCCAGCCCCAGAGGAACTGATGAATCCATTGCCTTCACAGAAGGCCTCTTTCCTCGGACCACAAAAGCCACTGCATCTGCATTCATCCCTCACAGCTGTAATTAGTGTCTGGGTGGTGTCTCTGTCATAAACAACACTGCTCCCGACAAACACAGAGGCCCAAGAATAAAAAAAAACACATACACCCAAATACACAGTAACGCTTGCACAGTGACAGATGAGCACACAGGTGTATGATTACCAAGTTTCTGTAACTCTTTTAGTTAAAACAACACTCAGTTAGGCTTTCTGTGTTGAGAGTGTGTGAGAGCAGAAATTATGGCTGTTGAGCTGAACCACGGGACAACGCATGTGGTCAGAATCGTAATAAGAGTATAAGACATCCACTTTGCCCTAAAGCGGCCCGCAGCACATACAGTAACTGCACAAGGAAGACAGAGTGAAGGACTGTGTGCGTGCGTGCGTGCGTGCGTTTATGCGTGCATGCGTGCGTGCGTGCGTGTGTGGGTGTCTGTGTGTGGGTGGGTGGGTGTGTGGGTGTGTTAATGTTATTCTGCACAGTACCTGCTCCAAATGAATGTTCTTGTAGATTACAGTCTGGTTCCATTCCGGGTTCATGGTCTTCTGGGCGTACTTGGTCCTTCTCTTGTTATCAGCACTGATAAGTCATGATATTCAGAATGATTATCAGTAATAAATTAAAAAATTCTCTTCCCTGCTTGACCCCATGGCAAACATTCACCAAACTGTGATATACTCAATAAATGTGGACTGAATAAATGTTCGTAAAAATGGTCACAGTCCTTTTGTGGAGACAAAAGAAACTAATTCAAATTTTCTTTTTTTTTTAATTTTTCCGTTTTGACTAAGATACAAAATCACACATTACTTCAGAGATAGGAGCTGAGGAACGTTAAAAGTGAGAGGCACAGAGAGAAAAAGCAATGATAGGAGTGTTCTTAAACACCATGAAATACAGCAGATAATTGGACAAACAACAAAGGCCACAACAAAAGGATGGAAAAACCACTTTGGAGACGTAATTTACAGAAAGAAAAAACATAACACCAACTAAAAAGCAAAGATCAGCACCACACTACCTTGCATTCTGGACAACCATGACTTGGCTGAGGGAGTCCAGAAGAGGAAGAGGAGGGCAGATATCACAAACAAGAAAAGCAAAAACACAAAAAACAGTCAGAGAAGCCCAGAGAGCTCAAAGAAAAGCCAGTAGAGGATAGAGAGCTGAGGCAATCAATATTCTATGCAGGGTGTATCACTGTTTTTGTGCCGGAGCAATGTATGTGACGCAAGACCAAAAAAAAAAAAAAGAAAGAAAAAAAAAACTCACAATGATTACAATCGGCTCGTGGGTGAATTTATAATTCACTATTCTGAACTGTTGGCTGTGCACTTCACTGCTAATGTCAGACAAATGGATTTCAAAATATTCTTCAAATGAAACAGCAGCGGAACAAATGTGCTCTCCTGCAGAGCTTTCATTTCTAACCTATAGAGCAGAAGTAGAAAGGGTTTATAATCTCATAAACAGGTCTGATAGGGTCATTATCCAAGAGCAGATACTGCTACAGAGCAGATAAAGGCTGTATCGATCCTTTCTCCTTTCTCGCTATTCACTCGGCTCCTGGGTAGACAGTGGAGCAGATAGGGATAAGAGGAGGAAGCCTGGGTTGTAATACAAGGGGACAATGCTGAAGTATTCCCTCTAGTCAAACGTGGGAAGAGAAAGAAGGGCTTGTGAATTCAGCGTATATGTTTACACATGTAGGCTGTGTATGACCAGGTAATCTGACACTTTATAATGTAGCAATATGGCAAAGGATCTCCTCTCACTGCTTTGTTACTGCGTCAAAAACACCCATCCATTGATTCATAGAGACTGAATCAAATGACACTACAAATGACTGCCTCATACCATCATGTCCTGCCTCACTCTCTTATACAAACTGCAGTAGTTAGTCAGTTCCATACAGCACAGTCAGTACAACGTCAGAAAGAAATAGAGGGGGGTGGGGGGGTGGGGTGGGGGGGATAAGACAGACACAGAAGCAAAAAGGCAGACACAGACCAGACATCACTGAACACTCGAACACACTCAGAACTCACCCTCTCCCTGGTAAGAGGTAGACCTTGACAAAAGGGTCAGAGTAGCCGTCGTTGTCCCTTGGGGCTAGGTTTCTAGCCTGCAGGACGTGGACGATCAGGTTTCCTAGGTTCCTGTCATAATTGATCTGGAGCTGAGGGGAAAAGAGAGCGGTTGTGGGGACCAAACTACTGGGCTGCATCTTTATTTTGTCGCTGTCCAAAATTGCTCTAGTGCTTTTTGAAAGTGTTCTTTTACCTGAATGTCTCCAGTGATGGGATGAGGCATCTTCATAATCTCTGTTGGCTGAAACAGGAAAGAATACATGCGATGGTTATGAATTGATTGTTTCATGATTAGTTAAATAGACGCTGACCTGATATACAAAGAAAAGTTCCTAACAGACTTCAGCCAATAGCTTGCAGTAAATAGTGCTCTCTTGAAATATATAATGTGCTGTCAGCTAACAGATGAAAGGGTTGTCCTTGCTGAGATGCAGAGTAAAGATTTCTCACTAGATCTATGAGCCTCAGGAGAGATTTGACTATGTCTGCAGTGTAATTGACTGGAAAAGTCCTCCAGTGAAGTTTGAGAAGGTTAATCAATTATTTGAGCTTCTTAAACATTAATAGAAAAAAAAGTCTAATTCAGTTTAGAACATTTTCAAAGTACAAATGTATTTTTACTTTCTATTTCATGTTTTATACTAGGTATTCATCACCATTTGTGTAACATAATGCATCTTCTTTTTTCTGTCAATGTGAAATGTGTTTCAAGAAATCAAACATTTAAACATTTGTTCATAATGATGCACTTATGCACATATTGCCCATGTCATGTGTAAAGCACACCTGCAGCCGGGGCCATGCACTCTGTCACGCTGTGTTATTGATCCATTATAATTGGTCTGTCACTCTCTGATGAACACAGTCACACCATTTGACCTTCCCATGCAACCTCCCCCTTTGTAGTGTTGTGTGATGTAATACTGATGGAATCACAGCAGCCAGGGTGTATGACAGATCACACAGGGTTCCAGAGACAGCTGCTTAATACAGATCCATCTTTTTATTTATTCAGTCTAGACTTTATTTTACGTAAAATACCAACCTCTGACATATGAAATAGTTATAGACTATTTATATTTTTTCTTCTAGTCACGTTGTAAACTGTACTCTTCACAATTGAGGAGTGTGTCTGAGCAGAAAGTATGCAAAGAAGTCAAATCCACTACCTTGTGTCGCTGTTTTTTGTTTATGGCAGGGGATGCAGGCTGACCAGGGCTCGGCACACCGCTGGAGGCAGCCGATCCAGTCCCCGAGTGGAGGAGGGCCGAACGCTCTAGTGCAGAGAGGACCCCCAAACCTCCAGGCCCGATTCCTGTCCCAGCCACACCAGGAGCCTGCTGCTGGGACACCTTCTGCAACTCTGCAGCCAACTGCTTAGGATCCACACCAGGGGAACGCTGCCCGCCTATTGAGACAAATGTGTATAGTAATGCACATTGTGTTTCTGTGATATAGGTACACAGATACATGCATGCATGCAGACATAACAGCAAATCCTTGTACATACCAGCCTTAAGCTGGACATGGTGCTCCAGGGCTTGTGGGTGCTCAGGGTCAGACAGCATGTTAAGGTCACTGTTTGGATCCATACAGGAAATTTATAATGGAATATCAACCAGTGTATCTTAGCAGTAATCATCGAGTGATATTTGTCAGATGAAGGGGTGTGGAATGAATAGAGGGAGGAGAGAAGGTGTGCGGAGTCACCATATTGCGACTAAACATGTAGGAGTTTCAGTGGGACGGGGGGATAAATGATGACAGATGTAACTCACAGTCTCACGCAGAGCTCCGCCTCTGCACATGGCTGGCCCATGATGCACTGCACCTCTTCATAAGTCTTTCCTGTCAGAGGGACCCCATTCCACTCCAACACCTGCATTCCTGTGGTGTGAGGAAGGCAAGCAGGCAGATTCAGAGACAAAAGAGGTGTTATCAATTCCTGGATAGTATGTTATGGCCTGGTGGCCAAATGCATTTCACCCCATTTCTACATATGAAACATGTTACAGTCTGGATAGTGCAGCAACGTACATGCTTATGTGACAGAAGCAACACTTCAATTTGTAGCACACATAGGGGAAAATGTATTTTCTATTTAGTTTTTGTGTTGACATGACACCCTATTATTACACACACAGCACAGCAACCAGTATATTAATGATATACTATAGACAAAAGTCAGTGCACAGCAAACTCAAACGTCCACCCCAAGGCCAGAGCTGTATGAGGCCTCACTTACATTAATGAAAACTGGTCTTCAGATTAGACTTCTGCTTATGAAGCAACTCACCAGCTGCTGTGACAATAAAGGCTTGAATTAATAACTCCATAGCCTTCTGCATGAGCCAGTGCACATTTAGATTATTCCCTCCGCTCTCTCTGTATAATTCTCCGTATCCTCCCCCGCTTTATTTCTCTTTACACCTAAAGCCATGTTCTGCTGCTATTCTCTTCAAGTGAAACATAAGCATCGCATTTGTATAATTACAATTCGGCATACGCTAGAAAGTAAACATTTCCAGCCTGACCACTGTTACTATTCCTCCATTACAACTAACAATGCCATGAAGGGACCCAATCTAACCTCGTCTCTTTTAGTCTTTCAATGGAAAACGAACAAACACACAAACAAAAGAATGAAATATATGAGACGAAGAGAAAATACATTCGCTGATCTGACTTTCAGCCCCTCCCTTGTGCAAATAAGCAAAGTCATGGCAGTCCCTAATGTGGAGTTGCCAGTGAAGAGAGAAACTAGAAACAATTTTGTCCTAAAAATATCTTCAAACTGTGGGAATTTCCATGAATATTCCATTTCTTCTCAGTTAAATCAATAATTTCAGTCATTTCAAATAATTTAAGATACAAATTGGATAGGATTTTTTTTTTTGAAGGGTTGTAAAGCTAATTATTGTGTGTGTGTTTGAGTATGCCTGCTTTTATGTATTCGTGTGTCTATAGCGATGCTAAATATAGCCTAATGACTAACACATCCCAGTGCTGCGGAGGGTGAGTTGACAGGCTTTTTCTGTGTTTGGAAGTGATGTCTCAGAGAATGAGACATGACAGACCACAACACAGAAGGCTACAGCAGCCTCTCGCATCTCCATCTGGAATTCAGTGATTCAGGCAGGGATTTTCACTGAATAAGAATAGTTTGCTAATAATAGTTTAAAGATTTACATTCACTGATGGCCAATTATGATAATAGTCATGGGACTGCCCACAGGAGCACTTTTATCACTTCCTTTTCTTATTCTCCTCTCACCTTCTACAACTTTTCCTGTTTGTTCTGCCACACCACCAGGGATGACCTTGGCAATGTAGGCTCCAATCTCTCCTCTGCTCCCTGGAATGTCCTTCCCACCTACTACACGGATCCCAAGTCCATTCCCTGAGGGGAAAATAAACACACCAAATCCTGATTAGCAAAACAGTGATAATAATGATTGTGTGCATAGTTCTTGTATGTCTGTGTGCTCCGTGTTTGCCTTATACCTGACACACTGGTGTCCTTCAGGTCTCTCTTAAGCCTGATGCGAGTGTGAGGGAAGGCGTAAGGGACCAGTTTCATCTGAGAGAGATTTTAAAGAATTTACAGCATGAAGAAAATAGGTTTCCTTTCATAAAAAAGAAAGGTCTACATACCAGAGATTTTCAGTAAGAAAACCACACAGAAGATGTGGTGTTGAGTTGAATGTTGTTAGTTTAGATCTCACCTGTCTCCGGTCTGAAATGTTTCCACCCTGCGGATGCCCTTCTCTTGGCTTATCAAACCAATCTGTCTCCTCTCTCCTCAGGTGGTACGCTAGGCAGGGAGAGGTGGAGGTTAAAAGTCACATAAGCACAATCACAAATCCTCTGTGCCCCTGATAGTGTAATAAATCTCTGCTTGGGCAACTTGGGCAGAGATCAATCTTTTGGAGAATCTTTTCTAGTATGCATCACAGAGTTTGTCCATCCTCCCATTTGCCCAAATGCAGGAAGATCACTGATCTGTCCTGACTGGATAGGTATATAAACTCTGCTCCATCATATCCATACCGTCTGTGAGATCAAATGATCACTGCAAGCACTGAATGAAGGATGAATACATTTCAAGAGCATTTTAAGTTCGGCATGCTTTTGATCCCATGCAGTGCTCCTCGTCTGAGTGTGAGGGCTCTTTTTGGTCCACATTTTCATAGCTGCTGTATATGAAACATTGTTACTGAAAGAAGCCCTTGGAAATTATTTATTACGATATTTAATAATTTCAATCAAAACACTGTGGATTGGAGTTGTCCCATTGTATGTTTTTACTCCAGTGATAATAATAATAATAATAATAATGATGATAAACCTAATTTATGTAGCCATCTCCAAACACTTGTTTGTAATGTAATTTTTCTTAACAAAATAATTAAGCGGACAAGGGGAAGATATATCTACATGTATCTAATTCTTTACCTTCCACTGTAGTTTAGGATCAAAAATCATATAACTCTAAATTAAGTGGTATTGTACTATGTAAATATATTTAGTAAGTACTGTAAGTGCAGTGTGCTGTCAAACTTTAACAATGATATGTGACATCTGAAAGATTTTGGATGCCTTGTGCCACATTTTACCAGCATCTTTGCAAATCTCAGAAAACTTTCAACTTTCAGCTCAATTGAAGCCATGGTAACAAGTCAGGTTGGTGGTTAATGTTCTACATTAGATATATGAGTCATCATCACTTTGGTGTCCAATGTAATAGATTGTCACTAAGGATAGAATGTGCACAGGTTTGCCAAATGTCTCTTTGTATTATCAGTGATCTAATTTCTCCAAGAAGATGCACCAATAATGATGAAGAGAAATGGCCTGATGGCCATTTATGCTGAAGGTAAATGTTGCCTGTTACCCATGTGATTTTGGGTTAGAAAGCACTTATCAGTTCTTGTCAGAGTTAGAGTTTTCTGATCTAGAATCATTAAACAGTGGCAGCATCGACCTTCAGAATTTTGGATAATATGCCTTAACATACCGTACATGTATATGAAAAGCAATTTAAACATATTTTTGTCGTAACACTTAAGCATGATCACACAATATACACGTGATTTTCTTTTTTCTTTTTTTTTTTTGCAAAAGTGCATGAACATGAATACTGGAAATGGGTCTGATATGCTTACAGAACCACAGTCATTCCAAATGATGTGTAACTCAAATCACTACAATATGTGACACATAAAAGTCATCTAGTGCCATTAAGATGGGTTTCATTCCAGAATGGATCTGACATGTCAGCTACTAGAGATCTGCTAAATGACATGTATTGTATACTATTGAGATATGGGTCATTCCAGAATGAGTCTGGTATGTTTACAGAAATCAATCAGAGAAGTGGATCATTCAGAACCATGATGTGCGGCATGGAGGCATACAGTCTCTATGTAACTACATGGGAATTGAATGCTGTCTCACCTTCTATATTCCAGTTTGGGCCTCCAGCTGGGGTACAAAGTTGTATATTTGTTTTTAGAAATGCGTCAACATACGTTCATTAAACTAACAAACTACAGGAACTGTGCTCAGACTAGATATGTATTGTGAGTATACTTCAGCACATGCACTGAAAGCAGTCAATGTAAGAGGCATGCTTGAAATTACTGCAAGTCTGACATTAGAAGACTGTCGGATGTTTACAAATTTAAGCAGAAGCATTATGAAAAACATATATGATACAGTTTAAGGGGGGAAAAAGCCATCTATCAATTAATGTAAGATTGAGCCACAGTAGTACCATGAGTGTAAGGGGTTCTTAACTTGTACTGTAAGATACTCTACCGTGTCTGATACTTTCATGAAAGATTCTGGCATCATCTCTGTTCAGAGCCAGCATGGACTCACTTAGTGCTGTAATCAAGGCAGATGGACACTTTTATGTGGGGTCAGGACAAATATCACCTTCTCATCAAGAATTCAACTACACTGATCCTTCGTAAATGGTCCAGGAATAAAGCTAAAGTCGACAAGACATAGTTGTTACTATTATGCATAGTGATTCTTGTCTGATAATCAATGTGGATCACATTAAACCCTCTCAAACTTATCCCTAATCAGGCAGGTGCTTTTCACTTTTGGGCCACTGGCCTTAATATTGTATTTTTTGCAGAGTCTAAGTTTACTTGTTTCTACGAAATGAAAAACACACTGTATCTAATTGCCTAACTTTTCATACTGCATATTGATATCTACAGAAATTGATTTATCTAACCTAATGGAACACTGCCAATTCCACACTTACGAAGATGGAGATAATATATGTCAATATTTTCTGTTAATTACGAGGGGACATGGACATCTCACATAGCAATGAGACATCCACAGCAACAACCAACAAGCAGAAAACATTCACTTTTATTTAGATGGAAATGGAGAACATGTGTTGCACAACATGCAAGGATGCAAAATCAGATACAGATAGAAAATTAAAGACATATTGAAACAAAGACATACAGTCAACACAACACAAATGAGACATAATAATATGATGCAAAATGTAAATTTTAATAGTGCGCATAACTGCATGACAGTCCATGAGAGAAGGTCATTGCATTGCAGTGAGGGTTGACATGTGGAAAAAAAACCCTGCAAATTGGATTATTCTTAAATTGGTAGATTCATCACTGACTTGCCAAGAATTAAAGAGCAATATCTACACAAAGTGATTGCCTTGATTGTGCAGAATACTAAAGTACACTCACACCACACCATGATTCAGCAGTATTCCTTTAAACTTACTGCTGCTAGTTGTTCTCCAAAATAGCAGGAAGGGTGACTTAGAAAAGTAAATATATACATCTTTCTGAGGAGTTGACCTACTTCTTGAAAAGCCACTATTTTGCTCTGCAGATTGTTGGAGGAGGGCTGAGAATCCCCAGACACTCCTTGTCATACCTTCATGTAAAAGTCTGCTACCACAGGTCTCTGCAGCTAACACAGCTTCCAGATGGTCTATACAGCACGTCCGACATTCTAAATTCCATTAACCAAACATTTTATTTCTGTTTATGAGGCACTTCGCATATGAGAAGATGATTAAATATTACATTGTTATGTTTTAAGATTGTTTCTGCTATTTAACAATGACTTACACATTACACATTTTAGGGCTTTTTCATAACACAAAGCTTACTAAAAAATACTAAAAGTTGGTATCTCATTTTTAAAGATTAAAAAATACTCTTATTAGAATCTACCATTCATTCATTCTGTCAGTAAGTTTCTGAAAAAACAACTCTGCAACAGTGTCTGCCACTATATGCCACAACCTCTCATAACTGAATATTTATGCAGGAGTGAATCCTCAATAACTGCGTTTCATCTGCCATGCATTATATGCCCAGCGCGATAATGATATTCTGTTTAGGGTGACTGCAAAATATGATTTTTCAATAATAATAATAATCATAACCATAATTATGGATTTTCAGTTAATTTTGGACTCACTAAGAATAAGGCAGCTATAACGTGGACAACATGTATTCAAGCCCATAGAGTTTTTGCAAAGCAATTCTGTCACCACTGAGTTTTAATATTAAGGATCATCATTTTACTGTGAAGGACTAAAGCTTTAGCAAAATAAAAAGACAAAGCATGCTGATGAAATAACAGAACAAACATGGATAGAACTGATAAGTGCCATACATAAACTCAGGCCAGGAGTGTTATGTATCGGTGAGTAACAAATTAAAAAGAAAAGAAATAGCATGCAAACATCTAATGTGACATTTACTGTGACAGAGGAAAATATATAGTGACGAACAACCAACAACAAGTATATAGAGCGATCATGATTGAGAAAGAACCAGTTAGTGCACAAAGTCAGTAAGACCACTCAGCATTAGCATGCATAACAAGCAGGTCCACACAGTCGAGTTGCTGAAACAGTCTGAGGCTCCATTTACCTTCGCTGTCAGACATGGCACCTTGCAAGTCATCCATGATGAACGCAATGTCTCGATCATAGCCACGTGTCCGTGATTCCTCCCTCATATGTTGCTGCACCTCTGGCAGGGAATGGCTAGACCCAAACTGGTCCCTGGAGTCAGCAGAAATGGGAGGGAGAGGTCCAGCTGAGGCTCGAGCCATGCCCATAGGCTGCCCCACTGGGCTCAGAGGGCTCTCTTCCTCAGAGTTCTGAGCCACAATGGGGATACGGCCCCGGCTTTGGCTGATAGGTAAACTAGTGGGCTTTGCTCTGGCCACCCCAGGGGCAAATGCTGCATCCAGGACCTCTCCCTCTGTTTTAAGTCTGAGTGAAGAGCTGGATAGGTCCCGTTTGATGGATAGATCCAAGCCATAGACAGAAGAGGGGCGGGAGGAGGGTCGTGATGAAGGTCGGGAACGAGTACCACTTGGGTAGGTGCCATCATCCTGGCCAGTGGCCCTGATAGTGGATCCCAGTCCAAGGGACTGTCCAAGGTTAAGAGAACCAGCTAGGTTGGCCCCCAGTGAGGAACCTAAATATTTTTGCTGCTCTGACAAGTTCTTTCTTAGCCCAAATGTAATCTCATCCTGTAGCAACCTAGCTCTAGCAGCCAGATTGGTCACAGAGGAGGCCCCAGATCCCATGTAGCTGCCAAAGTCAGGCTCCAGGTCCCTACTTTCCTGAATTGGAGAAAATTTAGTGACGGCCTTCGGGTCTATTAGGGCCTTTTTGTTTTTCATTTGTTTCTGGTACAACACAGCTGCTGGGAGTTGCTTCGCAGCCTGTTTTTCAAGGGTGAGCCTGCCAATGCTATATTTCTCTCCTTTAGGAAAGTGGCGAAAACTGCTGTCACTGGGGAGATACTGGGGTAGGCCCAGACCTGTTAAGTGTTCTAGCCCCTCGGTTCCTCGCCTAAACTCCTGCTTGATTTGCTGCTTCAATAGTTTCAGCTCATAAGGCTCCTCCATAGTGTCGTCTTCTCCTTTACCATAACCCTGAAGCCGAGATGAACCTAAAAAATCTGCCACCTAAAAGGGAGAAATATGACACACATTTAGTGTTTCCTGAATAGTAATGCGACTTAGTAGTAAACACTATGTGTTACATATAGCTCCAGAATAGGTGATTAATGGCGTATAGAAGTGACCAGACAGATCCATTGTGTCTACATTTTTTTTGTGAGAAGTGTAGTATAAGCTCAACAGCTAAAGCACTATTTTGCTGTCATACATTTTGTTTCATTTTTAACAGGCTATAAAATGCATAGTATATATATTCATAGTAATGTTCTAATATTTTGAAATTCTGGCTGTTCAGTGACAGATTAGTGAAACTAAAAAGCAACCAAAAAATATACATACTGTACTGTATATAAATAAGTATTTACCTCTGCTGTGCGCCTAACTTCTGCTGCCCTGAGTAGTCTGTCTGCCTTGGACAGCTCCTTATCAGGCAGGTTGAATCCAGAACCCAAGCCAGTGTTGCCCAGCCCCGTTGAAGCCTTGGTGAGCTCCCCTATGTCCTCTATCAACACGTAGTTCCTGGCATTGTGGTGGTCAATGTCGGCATAGAAGGAATCAGCAGAAATACTAGACATGGGGCTTGAAGCCATGCTCCTCTCCTCTAGTCCTAGTCTCAAGTCCAAGTTGCCATATTTGCCCCCCAGGTGAGCCACTCCATAGCCACTTTCAGTGGAGGCTGGTACAATGAGCAGAGGCTGGTTGCGTATCACTTCATAGTTGGTGGTGATCTTAGGCTCTAAATCAGACAGGGTGGTTTGTCGCTGCTTTCCCTGCTGCAAGAGCAGAGCATGTTGGTAGCTGTTAGACTGAGCCTGAGCATGGGAGAGGGACAGAGTTGGGTAAGGAGACACCTGTTGGTGGTAAAGGGACTGCTGCTGATATAGGTTCTGTTGGGTATAGTGGCTGGTGGTTTGGGTCTGGGGAACATACTGGGCATAGTGAGAGTAGGGACTAGTTAGTGTGTTGTACTGGGAATCAGCTTCTGTCTGTGGGGGGATGAATTGGTCAAACTCTGATTGTGGAGCCGTCCGTGGTCTTTCCAGGCCATCACCCCTAGCCTCTCTGATGTTGCTAACCTCGCTGTCTGACATATAATCTCTTTCCTCTGCCACCCCCTGTAGATAGGCCCTCTCTCTCTTCTCTCTCTCCTTCAGCAGGGCCTCCTTACGCCGGTTGATACCCATCTCCAGGTACCTACAGTGATAGCAAAAAAAAGACACATATTGTTTTACAATTTAACCACTAACAACACTAACACTTAACATTACAACCAAAGAGGCAAATAATGTTCCAGGTTCGCACACATTAGTACCTTTTACTATGTGTGAGTGTGGAGAGGTCTCACTGAGTGATGTCAAGGCAGCCTTTTAGCCCATAAGCTATCAAGGTAAGAGGGGAATCATGCAGATGAATTAGGAATAGTGATGGCATGAGAGGGACGAATGCAATGATAATGGTTGTAATCTATTTATGGCATATTACTTAGTTACTAAAATTATTTGTTAATGAACTAATGTCATAGGGCCCTAACAAATGCATATATCCTGTGTTGTTAATGTTAAATCTGTAGCATCTCACCGTAGCTTGGCGTCAATCTCTTTTTCCTCTTCATCTAGTTCAGCCTGTTTCTTGCGAAGTTTAGAGGATTCTCTCTCCACCAGATCAAGCTCCTTATCAATGTCCTGCAGGATCTTTGCCCGAGCCATTGTTGTACTGCGGGCAAGACGGCGACGAGCAGAATTGGTGCTGTAGCCTGATCGTCCTGTCAGAGAGTCATCCTCAGGAGGGGGGTCTGGTAGTGTCCGTTTTACCTTCTTACCTGTGCCAGAGGGAGAGCCGCGGCCCTAGAACATAAAAACAAATCATAAATCTGTCTATCATTGAATGATGATTAAAACACTTTAGAATGAATTTGAATTGCAATTCACTATTCACTACAGCTGCATACTTTACTATCATTTTTGTATATAACGCATTTTCATAATTCTGATATAATAAGCACAGAAATTATCGTTATCAGCAATGATAAGACATTTTTTTCCACTTATATTCTGCTATAACTTACAGAATAGCTGTCTGCGTTGTATCCACCCATCCTGTCTTCTGTGGTAGGACTAAGGGATTTAGGATCAGACAGAGACTTATGGCCAGCCTTTAATATCCGAGGGCCAGAAGAAAATCTGGTTGGGTCAGCAGTCAACATTCTCTGACCTCCAAGTGACTTTTCCGGGGACAGGGGGGAGACTACAGTATAGAAGCTTTTAGACTTAGAGGGGGCATCTGCTGTTAGGTGTGTGCTGTATCCCACCTCAATAGGTGTGTGCCTTCTATCTGAGTCTGTCTGACAGCTAAGACTGCCACCTCTCTGAGAGTTTTCTGGAGCTGAGATATGCTTGATGATTTCCACCTTAGTGTCCATCTGGACATTGGGTCGTTTGATCGTTCCAGAGTGGTCAGTCTGGACAGATATCTCCGCTACTGTCTGGATAGCAATGCTAGAGACCTTGGAGCTATGTTTCCCATCACTGCTATGTTTTCGAGAGCGTCGTCGAGCTTTTGTGGGAGCATCCCATTCATCTTGGTCCTCATCATCAGTTTGAGCTGAGCTATCAACATTTCTCTTATTCTTCTTTCTCCTTCCTACATGCTGCTTCTCTGCTGAATCTTCATCATCTGTCTGTACTCCACTATCAATTATTTTTTTGCCTGTGTCCTGATCAGGTTGAAGCTTCTTTACTAAGCTAAGCTGGTCCCGACTTTCCTCTAACTGTATCCCAGTAGATGGAGTTGTAGACTCATCTTTAACAGGCCAGTACTGGCCACTGTCCCCGACACCTGCATATTTAGCATCTAAGAGGTTTCCTGTGGTACCAGTGCTACCATAGTGCTCGTCTAGCTGGCGTTGGAGTTGCAGTTGGAGTTGTTGGATTTGCTGCAGCTGTTCTTTCTGTTGGGCATAGGTTTCCTGCTGGGCCACCATGTGGGCATGGTGCTCTTCCTCTTGCTGCAGGAGAAGCTGCTGTTTCAGAGCCTGAAGTTCCTCAAGCTCCCTTTGGACCATAAGCTGCTCCTGTTCACGGTAACGCTGGATCTCCTGCCTCTCCCACTCCAGCTCCTCAGCAAGACATAGTTGCTTAAGCTTCTCTAGCTCTAAAAACTCCCTCTCCATCTGATACTGGGCCATCTTGGTGTTGTCTAAGCCAGGGAATATTGGGGAAGAAGCCAAGGCATCCAAAGAGGCAGCAATTGCTTCCAGGGTGGTGTCTGAGTACATGTCTGGGTAGCCTGTTATAATGTCAGCCAAAGCTGTGGGTAGAAGCTCCTTAGGTAGCCCAGTGTCATAAGGAATTATCTGTCCTGGGTCTGTTGTGGGAATGAAGCCGTATGGATGTGGCAATGACTGGTTCTGGACTGTTGATGTAGGTGTTAAGGTAGTGCTAAAGATGGAGCCTGGCTGAGTTGTAATTGCATATGTAGATGGAACTGGAGCAGAAACAGAGGAGTAAACTATTCCATCTGAGGTTCTTAGAACACTATTTACACCAAACCCAGCAGCAGGGACCTGGGAGTATGGAGCAGTAGTCATCCCAGGGTAGACTCCAGTAGCTTTGCTAGTGTAGTCTAGAGCTTTACCTGTCATAACAAGTCCAGAGGTATAGATTTTACTTTATCAAATACGTTATAGTTTCACAAACAATCATACTGTTCTATAAGTTGAAGGTCATGCAGCTTGGATTTAAAAAGACTCCTATTGCACATGCATATCTGCAGTAATTTTCGCTAGCAAGAAGCAAAACCAAAATACTGAGGGAGCACACGCAGGCACACACATGCATCTGTAACAAGACAAAAAAAAAAAACAGAAAAAAAAACAAGCAAGTGTTAATATTTGATGAAAACATGCAAATTAAACACCAAAACAAATGTAACAGTTAAAGAAAACATGAATTTAAGAAGAAAACTAATTTAAGGGGGAAAACATTAACTATCATGTATATCTTCAGCAAGCAAAGTATTGAACTGTTACAGTATAAGAAAAAGAGTAAAGACACTCTGTAAATAAAAGTTTACAATTTATTAAATCAATCAAATGCAAGCCCAAAAACCAAACAGAGCATGGCAGTAAACATGCTGAAATACCCCAATACTCACCAGCAGAAAGTTTGGCAGCAGTGAGGTCTATAGCGCCATCTGAAGATCCACTGAGATAGTCATAATCATTCTTGGGATCATAGGAGAAAAGTCCTGCCTCCGTCAGGTTGGTCTCAGACATTGATGCTTTTATACCATTCATGCCTTTGATACCATAAATTCCAGCATTATCATATTGGTAGTGGTCATCTCTGTAGCCAAAACGGTTGTCAGGCTGGGTTGTAACCGGAGGCTGTGTTCTGCAGCTTCCTGTAAATGGTAGCTTGTAAATGACATCACAGCACACACTCCTCCTACCAGCTGTAAGGTCGACTGGTGTCCCATCTTCTTCCACAACAGTGGTCACCACTCCTGGGCTTGTGCCAGATAAAGCTACCATAGCTCTCACTGGTCTGTAGTTTGACAGATCCATGGCCCCTGTGGTTTCTAGAGAAAGGACAGGACCTCCACTGCTGATGGCTGCTGATGGCTCTTTGACTCCTGAGGGTACGAGAGCTCCAAAGGAAAGATTAATGGGTATGTCCTGAGCTGTGGATCCTACAGCACTGACTATGGGCTGAGAGTTCACAGGTCTGTATACAATCTGTGCTAGTGGTTCGAATGGTTTGCATGTGGTGAGAGGCAGAGGTAAGGATGTAACAGGGCCCTGCAAATCGAGTGGTTTCTCTGCTGGAGTGTTCTTATATGAAGCAATGGTGGCTGTGCATGTGACTATTGTGATGCTGTCAGTGACAACAGACAGTGTGGTTGCAGGGGTGATCTCTGCACTGAGATTTACTATCTCAGGCTGCACTGCTGTGATTTGACGCCCACTAGAGTCACTTGAAAAAGACTGTCGACATGACTCAGGTGGTGTTAGGTCCATGCCTTGTTCAGTCATCCTTACGCCAACCTTCATAGTACGTAAATCGATAACATCACCAGGATATATTATCTTCCCATTCTGTTTTGGCAGAGGTTGTACTTTAGCTACATCTGGTTGTATAGTGATTGCTACACTGGGTGGAGGAACCTGTGGAAGTCTTTCATGGACAACAGAAACAGTGGTCCTCTGGACCTCAGTGGTGACCACCTGAGTGACCAGACTAGGCAGGCTTTCAGGGGGTTGACCTGAGGTGGAAATTGAAGAAGAATACATGTGACTCATACTGGAGACCACCTTTTCTGGTCCCCGAATCTCTTGGCTCTCAATAGACTCTTGCTGAATTTTAGTGATGGTGACTGGAGCCACAGACACACACTGTGGAATATCCTGTGCAGCAGGCACTGAGGTTCTCCTGGTGTATGCTTCCGTGGTTATTATCTCCAGAGGCTGATCATATTCCGATGAATAACTTAACACCTGTGGTTGTTGTTCTGTTGAAGGAATAGATCCTCTCCTGTAGGGGACCTGAACACCATAACCATCGATAGGAATGTCTTTTTCAGCTGGCATGCTTACTACCTGTGCCAGTGGTAATGTTTGCTGCATGGTTATGGATTCTCTCCTGGTGGCAGCAAAGGCCTCAGTTGTAACAACCTGTGTGGGCATTTCATACTCTTTGGGATAAGTAAATATCTCACTTGTTGTGTATGCTGGCTGTACTACGGATGATATAGATGTCCTTCTCCTACTTCTGGTTTCCTCAGTTGTAATAACCCCAACTGGCATCACAGTTACTCCCTGAGGCTGCATTACTGACGATGGTATTGTAGCTCTGCTTACATCAGCATCCTTTGTAATAATCTCTGTGGGTGTCTCACGTTCAGGCTGCAATGCTATAACTTCCAGTGGAAGCATTGAATGTGAACTGACTGAAGATGTAATTGCTCCATAGACCTGTGGTATATAAGTAACAGGAGGGACTTCTGGCTGCACTGCCATTTGTTGGACTTGCATCACAGGAAGTGTTCGTGTTACTTCAGAAACTGTAGGAGTTGTCATCTTATCAACTGTAGGTAGTAGCGTTAACTGAACTACTTCAGGTGTTGGGGTAACTTCAGTTGCTACAGGTAGAGGATGTGGTACTGGAGATACTGTTGTTGGTATTCTAACAGCAGCGTCAGTTGTAATAACCTCAGTAGGTAATTCAAACTTTGTAGGGAAAGTTACCACTTCAGCTATGAGTTGTGGTTGCTGTGTAGATAGCCTCTGTGTCACTATAGGCAGAACTTCAAAAGGCTGAACTTTTTGTAGTACTGATGGAAGTTCACCAATGGTGTGAGTATCTGTTGAAAATTCTTGCTCTGTAGAGTGAGTCAGTGCTTCAGCTTCTGCAAATTGCTCTTGAACAGGAATTTGCTGACTCACTTCTGGTATCAATGATGTTATAACTGCCTCAGTGACAATGACATCAGTAGGCATATCCTGTTCTTTTTGTAGCATTTCTATTTGAGTTGTAGCTTGTGGATAAAAAATAGTTGAGGGGACTGCAGCAGGTCTATCTTGGAGAACTAGTGCATCTAATGGTGGTAGATGCAGTGGTACAACAACAACTTCTGTCAGTGGCTGTGGCTGTGGCTGCACATGTACAGTTGGTATTGGGGCCTGATGAGCTAGTGGTTCAGTCATAACCTCTGGTGGAGCTGTTATGACCTCTCCTGCTATATACGGATGCTGAGCAGGAGATGGTATAGACTGTGTCTTTACTGTGGCTTGGACTGTTAGTGGTTGAATAAGAACCTTTGGCTCTGAGGGCATTGTGATGACCTCAGACATTGTTTTAGGTGGTGGTGGTCGTGGTGGCACAATTGATTGTTGTTGTTGCACATATGGTTTCTTAATTGGAAGCGGTACACTGTGTACCTGAATGGATGTGTCCTGGCCTGATGACACTGTGATGACATCAGCCACAGATGGTGGTGGTTGCACTACAGAAGGCACAGAGTCTCTCCTGGTTTGCACTTTGGGAGCTATTACCTCAGAGGGTGTGACCTGTTCTACTGCCACAGTTGGAGGTACAGGTATTGGAGGTGGATGCCTTACTGTGGGGACAGAGGCTCTCCTAACTGTAGCCTGTGCTGAGAATGCCTCAGTAGGTGTTTTCTGCTCTGAAGGTGTGGTCCGTACCCCTGACACTTTGGTAGATGGGATAGACCCTCGTCTTACAGGTGCCTGGACTGTTATGCCCTCTGTTGGTGAGCCAGGCTCAGATGGAAGGGTTATCACCACATAGGTTTGCAAACATTTGGCATGTCTAGGAGACAAAGGTGACTTAGGAGATGAGGCACCTAATTTTGACTCCACAGGTCGTGTCAGGCTAAGTGTCAGAGCATTTGGAGGTTCTTTAGTCCTGGGTAGTGTTGCAGCTTTAGGGGCCACTGGAGGAGGTGGTGGTTTGACAGTCTCTCCTGGCTTGTGGCTGAAAACCAGTCCAGCTGGAATTGATATAGGCTTAGGTGGTATAGGTGGCGGAGGCTTGGTGGTTTGACAAGGGCCAGTTGTTGTAACAGAAACTTGTGCTACTGTTGCTGTGGCAATTGTTACTGCGGCAATTGTTACTGCAGTGGGAATTGGTGACATTGTCTTGGGTAATGTAGGAGGAGGTGGTGGAGGTGTATCTGCCACAGGTATTTCTACTGTATCTGCAGCTTTTGTCTCTGTTATAGGTTTAGGCTGAAGTGGTGGAGCTGAAGCTACGGGCACTGCTGACACCTTAGTGGGTAGTGAAGCTGTATCTGGGCTGGGTATATCGGAAGCAATGTGTGTGGCTATTTGAGTACCAAGCAATGATATATTTTCCCCACTCGGCACTATAATGACTACATGCCCTTGTCTGGTTGGGGTCACTATATGAGGTACAGCCATGCTATCTGGTTGCATATCTTCCATTCTTGGCTGTATATCCACAACTACAGACTGCATTGGTTGGCCAGATACTGTGGTTCCCACAGCTTTGGTAGTGGTCATAGTAGGGGTGACATGCTGAACAGTTCTTTCAAGTGGCAGTTCGGTGTTCGGCTCAGGTAATGACACTGAAGTAGACCGAGGTGGAGGAGGGGGTGGAACCTTCTTTTTGACTATAGTAGTTGATGCCGGAGCTGGAGCAGGCAACTGGGCTGTTTGAGCTGGAATTGGAACTACCACTGGGGTCACTGATGGGACAGCTGGCTGTACAGCGACTGAATGTACCACTTTGGCTTGGGCTTGAGCTGGGGTTGTTACAAGTGCTGAGACCGATGGTGGGGTTTGTGCAGAGATTGGAGATGTAGTTGAAACCAGGTCTGGCATCTGGACTATGACTGGCCCAGGGCATGAGGCCAGAGTGACAGAAGCAGAAACAACATGAGCTGAAGCTGGAGTGGAGACCACAACAGGTGTTGCTGTAACTAGGGTTGTAGGTTGAGCTGAGACAACAGCAGGTGCTGCACTTGGTGCTGAGACCTGTATAACAGCTGGAGCCTCAATAGGCACCTGAGATGGAGATGAAACCAAGTCTGGCATTTGGACCACAACAGGTGCAGTAGACATCTCCACTGGGGCTTGACTTGGGGATTCAGCTGTAGAAGGCTTAACCTGAACTACTGCAGTTGTTTGAGCTTTGGATGGGTCGGAAACCACATCTGGTATTGTAACTATAACTGTGGTTGGAGAGGGATGAGAGACTGAGCCCACACTTGACGGTACTGCTGCAATTGTGGTGGGCGATGGTGGTGAGACCTCTGGAGGTGATTGGGTTACAAATTTAGTTGGAGGTGTGGGTGTAGACAGTGGAGTTGAATCTGATGACAGAGGGGTTTGAGCCTGAAATGAGAATGAAGATGTAGCATTAGAAGCCAAACTGGAATCTGGAGTGGCCGGTGACGTTGGAGGGGACATAGGTGATACAGGGGAAGGTGTAGTAGTGAGTTCTGGGGCTGATATTGGAGTTGGAATGGGTTTTGGCTCTGGAATTTCACAGACCACACATATAGGCTCCATTTCAGTAGTTTCCGACGAAGGTGGGCTTATGGATGGATCTTCTTTAGTCTCAGAGTCATCACTGGGGGTAATGTCAGAGGAAATACCAACACCATACTCATCCGCAAGACTGTCATCCTCTTCCTCCCCAGATGAACACTGGGTAATTTTGAGGTCTGGTATGGGGAACAATGCTTTTCTGAGTGCAGGATCTTGAGGAACCATAGGCCTAACAAAACCTATAGATCCACTAGGAGTACTTGGAACAATAGTCACCTCCGGTCGCTTAGGGGGTTCAGAAGGGCGTGGTGGAGCTGGACGTTTCTTTTTCTTTACTGGCACTTCACTGGAAGTTTCAGTCTCTGTAAGAGGCATATCACTTTGCCCAGTGAGGAAAGTCTCCTCCATGGGCATGGTTACCACACAGGTCTCAGTGACTGAAGCCCCTGGTGAGGAAGATTCCATGGCAGTCTGAGCCTGCTGAAACTCTTGCTCTATCATCATCAGTTCTCTCTTTTTTTGCATCATCTCCTCATAAACCTCCTCTGGTGACCTAAGTTTCTTGAGAGATTCAGAGCCAGTATCATGTTTGGGTTCTTCCACTTGACATTCACTCATTTTAATTTCAGGCTCCTCAACCAAGGATTCATAAAGATAGTCCTCGATTGCCATTCCCCCATAGAGCGGCTCAACATCAGGAGGACTCTCCCCAGGAATAGCTTTTGTCTTCTGAATTATTTCCTCATATGCTTCTTCGGCACTCTTCAGTGATTTTGTCACAGTATCTTTTTCTTTAAATGGATCAGTAGGAGTGTATGGTATCACTGTTGGTGAAGGCTTGTCTCCTCTCTGTACAGCTTGCCTAGCCTCTGGTTCTGATTCTATACTGGCAGAGTACTCAGAGCCAGATGTTCCACTGGTTTCATCCATTACAGTGACCTGTCTCACATCCTCTGTGGAGGAAGCATCTTCAGCTGGAGACAGTGGTTGGCCACGGGCTCTAAGTTCATCTTTGTCTTTCCTAGGCTTGTCTTCTTCCTTTCTCTTCTCATCCTCAGAAGAGTCTTCAATAGTTGGGAGAGGCTGGGTTGGCTGCCTGTGCTTACCTTTGCGATGCTGTTTGTCCCCACTGACTTTCCTGTGACTGGGACTACTATCACTGTCCTCCTCCAGAGATGAAGCTGATGTAGGTGAAGATCCTGGGGTAAAGCTAGATGCCTGAACACTAGATGATCCCTTTGATACGGATTCTGTGATGCTCTCTACTTCTTCATCTGTGCTTTGTCTCTGTCTTGTGACTGGAATGGCTTTCCTGAAAGTAGTGCTGGGCATTGTTTCAGGAGCATCTTGAGCAGTTGCAGTGCCAGTTTTTGGGAGGTCTTTTTTCCTGGCTGGGCTGTCTTCATTGTCCGTGCTACCTTTTCTAGATAGAGGTTTGGCTGTCACTGAAGCATTATCAAGCTCAGCCTCCTTGATAGCTTCCTCATTGGCCAAATTCCTTTCTTTCTCATCTTCTGAAAGAGACATTTCTTCTTCATCACCCATACCCATTATCTGTTTGCGGATGAACTCTTCATCTTCAACAGAGGAGCCAGCGCTTTCAGTTTTGATGTCCTCACTGCTGGATGAAATATTTGTCACCTCCAGCTTCCTTCTCTGGACTTTAGGCGAGGGTGAAGGTGTGAGCTCACTTTCACTGCTGTCATTCATTGCTTGGAAACTTAGGCGCCTTCTCTCAGCTTTGAGTTCCTCTTTTACTGGCATGGATGGTTCTGTCTTTATATCATTTTTCCTTGTATCACTAACCACCTGCTCATCCTTTAATTCCCGTGATATAGGTAAAATCTGAGGTTGATCTTCTTCATGCTCCTCTCCTTTGGATTTAGGCTCTGTAGCTGTCACAGGGAAAACCTGCCCAGTAGGTAAGGAAACCTTTCTTTCTTTCATTGGCTCTTTTCTGGTCTCATCTTGGTCCTAAAATGTGAAAAAACAACAAACAAACAAAAAAAGACAAGATAATAGTAAATACATTCTTGATGAAATGGCCAAAATAGACAAACTGCCAGATATTTTACCTTGTTTTTACTTGTAATACAGTGGGAAGATGTATCATTCACCCAAATCGTAACAACTATTAATAATCAATGTGGTCAACATATTATAGAAGACACATAAACAAGCTCAACGGAACGTATCGTGTTAACTGGTGTCATTGAAACCTCTGAGTGTAGTTGTAAGACACATCTTTCCACAGCAGTCATAAAAATTCCATCAATAGTTTTCGGTGTTACCACACTAATGTCATCATAAGTTGAAAATGAGGGACAAAGTAACTAATTAATAATGGGTGAGCAAATAATGAAAGTGACATTAACAAAAATCTGCAATGCAATGCAATAAGATAGTAATGACTAATAAATACAAGTCATTACTTCAAATGCTTCACATTTGCATTTAATGAAGCAGCGAATGCCATTTTTCCAACACTGTTAGAGGAAATATATGAAGACTACAAGTATTTTTGTAGCCAAACATTAATTTCAGCACAGCTAGGAATTAGGTGCCTACATGTTTCAACAACATTCATATTTACTCTTGAAGCACAATTTAATCTTTAAGGGATAACAGAAGGATCATCCTAGCATATAGTTTTTATATACAATTTTGATTTTATCATGTTTAATTGAATATTTGTCATTACATTAATAATTTTTAGAGAGAGGAGCCATTCTTACTTTTATGATGATGCTCTCTGTAGATACTGTTTGTGTCTCTGGAGGTGAGGTGGCATCAATAATCTTTTCAACCAACTTATCAGCCACTTCCACTTTGCTGTCTGCTTCTATCACTGGTTCTATCTCCAATGCCAGCTGTGTTTCTTGTGTCTTTGGTTGCACCTCTTCTTGCTGTAAAGATTTTGTTGCTTCTTTAAGTTCGATGTAATTATCGGGCTGCACTTCTTTAATAATCATCTCTTGAGCAGACAACTCTGGCATTGTTTCAGTCCCTGGAACAACTCCAGCCAGAGCATCCTCTGCAGCAATAGGGGCGGTGGGTTCAACTGGTGCCTCTGTCACTGAGACAGATGAAGCTACAGCTACACCGGCTTCAACTTTGACTTTTGGAAGGTCAGGTTTAGACTCTTCAGCTGTAAGAACTTCTGCCACACTGTGCTCCATTTTCACAGCCTCTTCTTTAGTTTCCACTGTCACAGTTTTGGGAACGTCTGTGTTCAACATGTCAGCCTTTGGTGGTGCTACTGTCTTTTGCACAGGGGCCATAGTGGGTATAGTGGGTTGTGCTGTGGATGCTGTTTGAGGCTCTTTTTCTTCTGTAACAGGTGTAATCTTTGCTGTTGTGGGTATAAGTGCGGTCTCGAGCTCGATTTGTGTGGAAGCTGCTGTAGGTGTGGTTTCCATCTTCACAGATGTAGGTTCCACCTTTGGGGTTGTATCTGTTGGTACTGCCTTGATGGCTGCAGGTGTGGGCTGTGTTTTTGGGGCCGCAGGTGTGGGCTCTGCCTTTGGAGGGGCAGTTTTGGGCTCTGCTGTTTTGGTTGTAGGTGTGGCCTGGGTCTCTGGCTTGGCAGACACAGGTGAAGGCTTCGGCATTTTTTCTGAGTCTCCCAGCTGTCCCAACAAAGCCCTTTGAGTCTGGCAGTTCAGACACAGCCATTCCTTCTGTAATCAAACAAGCAAACACACTATATGATTAGGAAACACTATACCAATATTAACATAAAAACATCTTACAGACTCAATTATTTTGTTTTAGCCTTGTGGACTATCACATATCCAACTGACAATTGGCTTGAGTGACCCTAATTCAGCTAACTGATCCAGCATTAAGCTATTCCACAAAGGCAAATGTGAATGTGATATAATGTCATCAGACTTATTATAGCCTTTATTGAAGCAATTTATTTGTTTTGCAAGATAACTTAAGTATTGTGTTAGCATTGTAGCGCACTGAAGTCATGCTTGCATGATTAGCATCAGCTGCTTCATTCATGCTTTACCATCAGTGGCTCATTCATCAGCTGCTTGGCTATCAGCTAACTAGTAGCATACAATTATATTCGTACAGGTGAACAGCACAGCTGTGGCTTTGTAACCCGCAACTTTTCACTATTACAAAGCTGATACACTTATACCAGTGCCATTAGCTGCTGCAGCTCCCTCCACTGTTACAACCCCCCTCCTCATATTGTAAGTTTGGTGTTGTTGACTAACTGGTATGTATTTGTTAAGGGTGGATTTGTAGTCCTTGCAGAATTTTTGTAAGCTCTGATTGAGAACAAAAGCAAGTGCATGTGCTATTTATTTTGTACTAGTGAAATCCTCCACATGGGGCAAATGTTTTTTTAATTGAAATACATTAAACCAATACAGTTTATGTATTTGTTGCAGTGCAGTATTTTTAACTTTTTTTTAACTTTGCATTTTATTTTGATTTATGACCATAATAACAGCACTGAGGGAGTAGCAGGGCTGAAGCTCAACTTTCACACAGAACCAGCATTTTAGTCTAACTGTTTGTTACACTGGTAAAGCCTCATTTAAAACTGTAATGATAGCCATTCTAACATAGCTCTAGTTTTCTAAAACTGGCTTTGTGGATGGGACTTTCTGAAAACAAGCCTTACATACTGCCTTAACCCTTTGTCACATACCTCTAAATTCTACTCTAGTTTTTATAAATACTACATAAACAAACAAACATACAGCAAAAACATTGCAAATTTATACCGAGTTGTTTAGTGTCTAGTATTAAAATGCCTATCATTAAATTTGTGAGTAAGAGCAGGCTCCAATTATGTGGGGACACATTTAGGTCTCAGACTGTAACTTGAGAGTTGAAATGATATGGAGGTGAAATATTAGTTAAAAAAAAACACACTAACTACATGATGTACTGCCGTGTGTTGCAGTGGATAATAACTCATAGTTTTCACATTTTCAACTATGAAAGACATCTTTGATTTGTTGAAAATATAAACATAGTACAATACAACGATCTCTTATGCTGAGTAATACCAGAGCACTCAAAGTAAAATAAATACAACCTTAACCACACACTTAAATTGCTGGACAATTCAAACAACCAAAGCATTTACACGGGGATATTCAACATAACATTTTCAATAGAATCTTCTGGTCTCTAACATTATCATGCTTGCTGCTGTTGTACTAGAACTTACGACACTTGTAAGATAGCAATAAAAATGCTTACCTTGCCAAAAGAACTAATCACATTTTACAAGCAATGCTACTACTTTCAAATTTTAATCCTCTGAAGACACATTTCTTATCACATCTAAGCTCCATTAATGAACAGTTAAGGAGGAGAGGAAAGGCGTAAGCTGTCAACAGATAAAGCAGTGTGTCTGTAGCAGCCGAGCAGACCAAATCACAGCAATGCGCCTACCTCTGCAGAGCCAGGGAGAGCAGTTCAGATACACAGGGCAAAGGAGGAGATTATATCGCACACATACCCTATTTGTGAAACACCAGTAAGTGTTAATTGCTTTAGGCATAAGATAAAGTATTTTAACCTGTACGCATTTAACAAAATACTTAAATATGGAACAGCAATGGGCACATGTAACCACTAATGTTGATGCACTTTATAAACCAGAGAAGTATTAGGATGTGTCTCCAAACACACACATTGTCTAGGAGATTAGCACTGGTTCAGGATGCAGTGACGTAATGAATAACATAGTTCATGGGCTCATGTGCTGAGTTGAGCTTTAGCAAGTGATGTAATTTGCCCTCAGTCATACCCTGGCTTAATCTTGCTCTTACAATCCAGCTGTGCCGGACATTTCATCTTTGTTCGCATAAACAAGCCTAAATTATCACACTGCTAAGACCTGTTGTGATCATACTCCTAAACATATAGACAAGACTAGAGGGAACACTTAAATATGTTCACTTTAATTAATGTGTAACTTTTTTGTCCTACTAATGGTTATTATTATTGTCTCTGTTTCCAAGCAGTTGCTTTACAGAGAATAGATATTTAGAAAGTATGTTTACATAGATCTGCTGCAAATAGAGCATCGTTGAAAATATAAATTCTCCTATCCTACCCTGAGACTGTGTGCAGCAACAACACTGCAAGAAAAGCATGGGTAACTGCATTGCTGTAAAATGCTTTCACTGACAGCTTAGAGCTAATGAAAACATAATACATATAGTCTTAAAGTCATAATTAATGCAAAACATCACTTGACTTTGGAGAAAAGTGATACTGATGCATCCAGCTTGATTGATACTGATATGCTTTTGTTCAGTCAGTTGTGGGTTCAGTCAGGAATATGATAATCCTATTTGTTCCCTACAGTATCAAACAAAGCCTCATCAGCATAGTGCATGATGCTGATAATCACGTAAACCAATAAATCACTTAAACCTCAATTTCCTGGGATCTGTTGCAAGCCCAGCCTCACTGACGTTAACTTTGAAGTTACTAAGTTATATGGGTTCGCATAAAATCTTAAAGAGGGTAATTTATTTTTCTTTGTAAAAACTTAATACACTGCCGTTTATAGCACTTCGCTCATCTAGAGTACAGAATATCTCATAAATCAGTACTTCTTAAATAAATAGAGTTGATAAAATAGAGTTGATTATTATGTGCAAGGATTCTGCCTTAAACATCTGTCGAAGCTATAATTCCCACACATCCCTCCACTTCTCTTTCTT